CGAGCCATCGAGCGTCCGCACTCGTCGACTGCCGATCGCAGAATGAAGCCGCCGAAGCAGCTAACAGCTTATGGTATCCGATCGGGTTTTCATGTATACTCACGCTTACAAATATACAATAAGTTATTTCATTATTAAAAAAAAAACACAAAAAACAAGCAGACCAATTTTGAAAAAAAAGAAAAACTTATCGCGCGTTGATGTTAGAACAGAGAAAATTGATTTCACCTCTTTAATCTTGCAGAATGGCACAACGTGCGTATGCGGGAGAAAACTAATGTAATCTTATGGAAGTAAAATGTGTCGCTCTCCACTAAACAAATTTCAAATTTCCCATAACTTTTACAAGGCGCTGAAATATTGTAGGTTTCATTCGTCCTTCAAATATCTTCACTCTCATGAGCACACTTTTATTTTAATGAATTAAAATGTATTAAATTGTTAGAGAAATGTTTTGTAAATGTTTGCTCCGTAATATTTATTTTTTGTTCTTTCAATAACTTATGTTGCTGTCTCAATGCTTGAGATAATTGCCTTTTACTAAAGTCATTGTAGAAAACAGATCATGGGTTAATCTACTTCATCAGTATGAAAATTAACTTGAAGGTTAGTTAGACCAGACGTAGAAAAAACACAAGAAAAAAAGTAGTCGTGCTTTTATAGTCTTATCTTTTTAATGGTACATGTTCTCTTGATCTGTATTTATATCAATTTGCTCTTTGAATAACCTTTATTTTTTTATTTTTTCGTCACTGAAAACAAAATGGAAAAATATCACGGGCGACTTCACGTCTTGGAGATTTGCGTACCAAATGTCAGCAGCAATAGACACGGCATACACCTCGAATGTTAGCAGCTGCGCATCATGCACACAGACTCTCCAGACTGTGAAATTACTGACAGTCAGCGGCATTGCCCGTTTGTTCGTGGAACACGAATGCACGTTCGAATAACACGAATGCGCTCGGCTAAGAGTTTCAATATACTGGATTTCCTATCAAGAGACGAGAATGTCAACTTTATGAGCCGGAATATATTAAACCCTCACATAGCGACAGAGAAAAAAAAAAAAAAAAACCTTTTTAGAGCAAAAGTATAGTTATTAAATATGAAATATAATTTCTTAGGCACAAGGTTGACTACCTCGAATATCTGCAGAGATAATCGATCGGTACTTGTTGTAGCCTCACAATACAGTATGCTCGTTTTGCCTATAGTTCACAAGTGTGCAAAGGTTTTACGAGGTTTTTATTCGAGACCAAAGTGAATGTTTTTTTTTTTAATTTGACACGTACACTTTTTGATAAAATGAAGCGTCTTTGGCGTGACTCTGTTTGATCACTTCATGTCACCCGCGATAGTAACTCGGACGTACTGGAGCAAGACGTTCAGGTGAAACACTGTGCCTAATTAATAAAGGCGGCAAAAGTTGCGTCATCGATCGGTTGGCACTGGCGTTTCCTTATTACGCTAACTTGATACGAAGCCAGAAAGTGTTATGTGGGAGCTATATAACACGTTATGTGTTAAGAAGAAAGGGTTTGATGCCCCTTTACAGCCTGTTTTGAAAGGAGATATTTTTTTATTCGGCGGGCACTTGTCATCAACTTAGCTGTTGGGAAAGGAAGCCGAAGAAGGTAGTGGTATTTTACCACATGACTTCACCGGTCAAGAAACTTAATCATGTATGTTTACGATCATCGGGCGGTGCAGGTGGCGGTTAGAGCGGAGTCAACGACCCGACAACTCCCACAACAAGAAGCGACTTCTGGCAAAGGAAAGGATGTAAGAAAATTCGGCGCACCCACACCTTCTTCGAGGATTCGCGAAGTCGAGAACCACTAGGTGTTGTTCTGCGCGTGGCGAAGGGTTGGCCTTCGTACACGGCAGATGTTCTGGAACTTTCACGTTGGGTAGCCCTCTGAGTGCCACACCCGATAATATTCGGCCGCGTTGCACTCTGGTTTCAGTTTAGCTTATTGCTTCGCGACCCCCGTGTTATATAACAGATAGACATCTGTACGCTTTTAAATAATTTTATTAATTCCGTTTCTTTAGTATATTTCACAGTATTCAATTTGTCTTTCCATATTAAAACTTAAAAAAAGGTTCAATTTTAGATATTTTAGTAAATGTAATTTTAAATGTAAAAGAGAGGTTCGATTTTGGATGTTTTACGAAATGTGCTAATTCGTGTAATATTGATTTGTTACTTTATTGAAATATTTATAAAAGATAGACTGCTGTGGAAACAGATGGCGTACAGGTTGTTTGAGTTTGCAGAAGTTTGTTCTTATAAAAATAAATTGCTTTTTACAAATTCCTTGGTTCCACCCCCAAGCCATTCCACGGTGTAATAGGTGAAACAAAATTCTAAACGTTGTAATTTCCAAAGATACCTTGACTAAGCAATGGGTGTGCATTTCTAATATGGACGGTGGTAATATCATTCACAATCAATGTCAGGTACTGAATATTCTATAGAACATTATCTCAGAGCTAGAAGCCTACATTTTCAATTTCATTTGCTTTAAACCAGCGGTTCAGAAGGTAACCTTTCTGGACACTCTCGTTAAAAAATCAACAAAAACCAACTGTGTGTTAGCCTTTTATTGTGCGTCAGATGCATACACGGAACTTATGAGGACCTTTCTGTCCGGAGTTATAAGGATTTCTCGAAAATGTTTTCAGAGAGAAAGCATTTATCACGCCTACTACACACCTTTTGAGCCCTTCTCACCGAGGTGAGAAGTGCTTAGTGGCCGGGTCATGAACAAAGTTCAGAGCCCAGTACAAAAAATATGGTAGCGCGAAGAAGGCGCCTATTGGGGTGCTATATTGTTTTTACAAAGAGTTCTGCTCACTTGTGATATGGAGACTGTAGAAGCGATTATTACGTTTTGTCTAAAAGTGGATCGACAATTTTGTAGTTTATCGGCTCTAGAGACTAAAGCATATTTCATAAGGATCCTGACTTTTCTTGGCTGGCACAAACGTAATTCTCTGAGCATTGGCACTATAGATTAAAAACGGGTTATCCCCAGGGCGGTTTTGAGTGGCGATACGACCCCAGTATTTTTACAGATGAATAATACTCCCCTCCAGACTTAACGACCTCAAACAAACTAAAAATGCAGGTCGTGTGGAACTAATCACAGATGAACAGCTTAGTGACGCACAAAGACAAAAACACGCTCACACACGCACACGCGCGCACAAAAACACACACGCACACGCGCACGCAAAAATACACACGCACACGCGCACGCAAAAACACACACGAACACGCACACGCATACGTACGTGCAGATTGTCTTTTGTCCTTATCTAAAATCATAAGTTAGCCAATGTTTAAAATATCTAGTAATAACTGAAGTTTTTGGAGAGTATTATATGGGACAAAGGGTGTAATAATACACCCCTTTTTCTGAGAGTGTATCGATGCGATGACGCAGGTGGAGATACTACTTTCCTTGATCCCTCAGTTTGTGTTATTTTATATTAATGAACATTTATCGTTTTATCGAAGAGACACACCACATTTTTGCATTATTGTGCCAAATGTGTCGTTTTCAAGTTGTGCGTTGTTTTGGAAATGCCTGTTGTATGAGTGCGTCCACTTCCGTAAAATTAGTGGTACATGTATTGTTTTGCTTTTAACTACCGCATAATGTACCACGAAATAAATGTTTTTTTTACATTAATAACATTGTCCAATTCGTATTGCAGCGAGCTCACTGCCTAATATTTCACTACTACGCAGTCCATATCCGTGGACCGCACAAGTTCATATAAGTACACACCCACAAAAAAAAAAAGACAGCATGACAATTTTGTTACATCATGAAAACAAGCTCAAGAAAAAAAATATATTTTTAATGACTGATTGGCTTTGGGTAGGACACGTTCAAAATGGTGGGCACTATTGTGCACACAAGTAGACCTGTGGAAAAAGTCGCCTTTTTCAACGAACTACCGTAGCAATATGCCAGTGATTACACATATTGTATGCCGTGTTATTTTGGGGTTTACATTGCAGACATTAACTTGGTACATATTTGGCGACTCCACGGTGCAAACGTCGTCATGCGCAGCGTTTTTGAAAGAAAGCCCTGTCAAAGCTATACCGCTCCAGGTGGTGCGCATAAAACACAAAGGTCCTCTTTTTTTTTTTTTATTGCAGAGGATCCTATTTTTTACTTGCTCTTTCGCGCCCACCTGTTTCTCCGAGGTATGCGCTTGTTCACCCCGCTTTCGTCTCCTTTCCACTCATATAACAACAACGAGGCCGTACTGCTGTTCTTCAACACAGAATCTGTTTATGGACTGGATTTATAAAAACTTTTCACGCTCGAGTTTGAGAAAAAATCTTTACACGCCGAACAAGGCAACCTAATATATGTATTGCAGGTAGCAGGCAATGCACAACCAACCGAAGCATAGAAAAGGCGTAGTTAGTGATAACAACTTATACACTGTCATAACTAGGCATGCACAGTCGAAACCAGAGAAGTTCATTAAGGAGCTTAGCAGAAATCGAACCTTGGATGATGGGATGAGCAGACCGACATCTTTGTCAGTCTGCTCATTCAGGACGTATTTACAAGCATGAATTAAAATCACACTGCCCGGTGTTTTGGGGCAGTTTTACAACCACTACAAGTAGGATATGAACGGGAGCGCTTCAAGTGAACTTACTTGCCACTAACGGTCGGCGGCAGTAGCCTCCGACTGTCCGTGGCGAGTGATGCTTCGTACACCATACATAGACCGCAGGCGACCATGGCAGGCTAGTTATACTTAGCATACTTAGTCTGCATTCGCCCGTCGTCGCTGTATTCTACTGTGTACAGCGTACTTAGTCCGCAGCACCCTGCAAAATATTTCAAGGCATTCCAACTTGCTCAGTTTTTTTTTCTTTGTATTTACGAGTATTTTTTTTTTGTTTTCGGCAACGTCATAGAACACCTGCGAAGTAAGAATTGACGGAGCAGCTGCTCACAGTTCTGCTAGGGGAGTGGCATGATGCAGCCGCCGGCCTCTCTGACACTGCACTTTAGTCGTACGTATTTAAGTCGAAACCGAAAAGCGATTTCGCTAAGAAAGGCATAAGCATGTTGTCGGTTTTGGTGCTCGCGCTTTGCTTATTGATACCCGGAGGGATATCAGAAGACCAAGCAGAGAGGACATCAGATGGGGAGTCAGAAGCGACAACTTTTACAACGCTATTGTCTGGGCCTGTTTTCAACTATTCCGAGACAAATCCTGAACTTCAAAACTATCAAGACGCGTGGAAGGTAAGCTATTTTGGTGGACATCACTGTTTTCTTGAAAGATAATAACTGAAGAAAAAAAGGGTTTCGCCCCCAAGAAAACAAACGCACCCATTTCAGTCTTCAATCACCCAAGGCTTTGGGGGGCAATAATCTCAGCACCGTTGTTGATGGTGCAATTTGAAAGAAAAGGCGTTGATGAATCTTCCTCACTTTCCCTGGCCTCAAAAACGCTAAGTTTATATCGAGTTACTTAATCATAGAAATTTAGGGCGGAGCCTTTTTTACCGTTCCTATGTCGCAGCATAATATGCACAATATTCCCTCAGTGACCATACGCTTCTTTAGAAAACTAGGCCGATCGACCCGCCTTTCTTTTAAATCTGTATTTGCTATATTTAGGAATTTTAGTTCCCTTCTAGGCCACCCGGGAGTAACTGAGCGATTAAACCACAATAACAGTACAATCAATTGTATAACATCAACTAGAACGACGAATGAAATAAATAGCCGCTTGCTGTTAAGCCCGTTCGATGATCTCGCATTATTTATTTACCACCATGACAATTATATCTGATGTAGGAATAAATCTAAACGTTGCATTCATTTGCTAAAAAAATATTTTTACTAGCTTTCCTGACGAGTCATTTACAGGCATATTCCTTGATATTCAGTATATATAATTACTCTATAGCCGCGTTGACATGAGTGGAACTCAGTTGCAGCAAATCCAGTCACTGCATTCAATGGGCTGAACGCGCATACCGATCTAACCGATATATATATAGGTGAACCAAGACGGCAAGCGCGCATTCACGCAGCTCATCTAAACACCGGTAACATAGCATGTTCTGAAGAGAAGGGCTATGGAAGTGCGTTCGTTCCGGCGCTGCTACGCTTGATGCGGACACGTGTGAACAACCGCGAACGCGGCGGCGACGCAGAGCGGTCCTGGGCGTTTGCGTGCAACTTCTTCCAGAGAACTGGAGTTGAGGTCGGGCTTGCTGGTTCTGTGGTACCCGTGCCAGGACGCGCACTGGGAATTCCTCATGGAGTAAAAGAGCAGGGCAAGTATGGGGCCCTAGCTGACGGGTTATTTGAACGTCCCACTCTTGTAGCACTCGACCGTGACATTTCGCGCTCGTTGTTTGAGATAACACGGCTCGTCAGAGTAAACCGACTTGCATTGACGCGACGTACCATGACGACCACCGAGAACGGCGGCGACAAAATGGCAGCCGATGTTGGTGGTACGCGGGAAAAAGTAGCGACTGTTTACCTAAGATTCGGCGCCCTCCCCTTCCTCTTTTCGCCGCGAAAACCAGATAAACCAAGGGAGTAAAAAAATAAGCCGTCGCCACGTGTGTCGTTGCCGAAAATGGCGAGTTCGTAACTGCTTGAAAACAGTTTTCATTGTACCGTGGCGAGCGAACTTGGGTGAGCATGGGGGAGCATAGAATGAGAGAGCGTTCATGATCACGTGGTTTATTTGCACAATTGGCGTGACTGACTTATGCAGTGTTGCCTGGGCCTCAAATGAAAATGATCAACACTTGAAATTGAGTATTGCAATTATTAGGGCTCTAAGAATTGCGAAACTTGGCGTATATACTGAGTAGACTATGATCACTCCATCTCAAGAATAACCTACACGTATACATTATATGTCCTAACCTTTTTAACGAACCACTTCATACGGGTTATTGTAATACTACAGTATATGGTAGTACCCGATGCTCACTGCACGCGCTGTCAGAAACATACAAATAAATAATCGATAACAAAATGGCGTTGTCTTATCCTCAGGGCCAAGAGCTCGTGCAGGGGGACTCACTTGTTTGCGCTACGGAACAAAAAAAGAAACAAAAGTGTTAGGAACAATATGATCAGATGTCTAATTTGTTCTGAACGTGTTTTTTTTTTCACGCACCCTTTAGTGTTTGTTTTACGCACCCTTGTCACAGCTATCGCTGTGCTTGTACTATGAATTAAAAAAGAACCGCTCAACCTTATTATTATGTATCGTGCAAGCGTGGTGCCACCTCAGTTTGACTTTAAATGGGACAACTATCTGACACTATAATGAAGCAATGGTGAGGGTGCAGGCTAGCTGGTGTAAATTGAGCATAGTTGTAAACCCGAGACTGGGGATACGGACAAGGGACAAAACACAGAACGACACGGACGAAGTCTGTGTTTTGTTGTCCGTATCACGAGTCTCGGGTTTACAACTACGCTCTATCTGACACTCTCTTGTCGAATACATGAGGTTTGAAGCTCAAAACTACACTTGGATGGGGTTTTATCACTGCCGCGGCCATGGGCTGAAATTCCTCGCTGGCACAGCTCTGGCCCGCGGAAAGCTGGTAACACTGTTAATTCCTGTTACTGCAACGCTCACGTAATCCATGAGCGGCATGCGGTTGAAACGAAATGGAAGAATCGCAGGAAAAATTTCTACAGTCGCTCAAACTGCACTGGTCAAAAACCCATCCCAGCAACGCGCTACGCTACGCATAATTTTGTTTTATTAAACAAATCAGCTGCTCGGATTATCCGCTTATCGTGATCTGTGGTCCGCCCTTTGCCTTCGCTTCACACTGTTAAGACCTACGGAACGAAAGCGAGCACAAAGCTGCGATAAAATTCAACAACCAATTATGCAACTGGCATGAGACTTGAACACATGGTCCATAGAACTTTTTAAACGTCTGCTTTTTGGCTAGGTTCTAAACGAGTGGGAGCTTTCCCCTTTCTAGTGCTTTCATCCCTCTGTGGTGTTGACGTGTTTTTTTGCATCTCGTAATATTTTGTATTACAGATCGATGTAATAGCATGCTGGCGCAAGAGTAAAAACGGCGCGAAAAGTATGAAAGACGTGTTTAATACAATGAACATACCAGCGCTTCGGATTATCCAGTGTGTTTGACTCGTCCTTTATTTTTTTTGCCTGTTTTTACTTGAAAAAACGAATACCGACTGCTGTCTACATTCTCCCAATCGAAGATGATTCTCCTTTTATTCTGCCATAACTCTCGTGTGGCCGGCTCAGATACTGGTTTCTAGTGCGTTAGATTGCACTGTTTGCCTCCAAAACACCGAGGAAGTTGTTTTAGACCGCAGCTCTTAGGCGCCCGTTTCCGGCTTGAGCGGCGTCGCCGTCGCTGTCGGTGTAACCGCGCGGTGCATTATGGATAAATTTTTCCGAAGGGACCCGAGGTCCTCCCGAAGGAACCCCAGGTTGTCCTGAAAGAACCCGAGGCCCTTCCGGAGGACCTCGGGTCCCTTCGGGAAGACGTCGGGAGGACCTCGGGTTTTTTCGGTAGGACCTCGGGAGGACCTCGGGTTCCTTCGGGAGGACCTTGGGTTCCTTCGGCAGTTGCAAGCAACAGATTGCATGCAACCTGTTGCATGTAGCTGGCATAAAACCTGGGTTGCATGCAACCTGCTGCATGCAACTGGCATGTGACGAGTTGTATGCAACCTGTTGCATGCAACCTGGTGACGTCATCAGCATCCGCATCGTCATCATTACTGATGACGTCATCAGTGACATCACTGATGACGTCATCGGCATCCGCATCGCCATCGTCATCATCACTGGTGACGTCATCAGTGACGTCACTGATGACGTAATCGGATCGTCACTGATGACGTCATCGGATCGTCATCGTCAAGGTTACGTGACCCCCCGAGATCACGTGACCCACCCGAGGTCACATGACCCCCTCCCCCCTTCAGTACCCTTCTCTCCTCCTCCTCAAGAGCTGCGCTCTAATTCGGCGTTACAGGGAGTTGTAGACGGCTTTCATTTTTCTTTCCTAAGATATTGGCGCCTCTGAAAATATAATATAATTTTTAATCAAAGGCGTTACCCACACCTGATCTAAGATTGCAATGCAGTTTAGTGCAATGTAGCTTTAAAAACAAGACATGAACTCCATCAAAACAGGCTGCCCAGATATGTTTCTAAGGTTGTAATCTTTTTCTAATATGTACACCTAGCTTATAGAGATAACGCATAAGTGGTGGGAGTTCATGTTATCTACCTTCCACGATGGATGTGACAAAGGCCGCGGGTGGGGAGAGTTCGGCCTCCTTCGCCGTGAGCTCCGACGTGTTCGTGAAGTGGATGGTCCCTTTGTTGGAGGGCCCTTGTCTCACTCTCTCACGGGAAGACCTATTTCCCTTCCCCCGCTCGGATACGGATCGCTGCTGATAGGCGAGGACGTTTCGCCTCTTGTTTTCCTGCTTTCGGGAAAGGGGGACTCGTCCGGTGACCGCGAAAGAGACAGGACGTGTTTCGGCGACTTCTCGACGCTTCCCCGATCTTGTCTCTCCGCACTCTCGCGTCGGCAGGTGAGGACCCTTTCGTAACTTGCCGGCGCGTGGGGCATTTTAGATGAAAACTAGTTTCTTTAGAAGGGTGTTTTAATAAATGATCTTGAACTCTGTCCTTACTCTGGTACGTCTGTCTTCTCTTCCGCTATATTCGAGAGTGAGACGAGGTAGCCGATCATTGGCACCGACGGAGCTAATTTATCGAACCGAATCGCGGTAATGTAGCCCTAAGCGTCATCTATATTGCCACAGAGATGAGGGGACCGCGCTTTTAAGTTTGACGTTTCCTTTGAGATCGCCGCTGCTGTTGAGATGACCTTTGGTTCCTCTATTTGTACCCCTGCTGGTAGCTTGCAAATCCCATACAGATGAGGAAGACTACGATATTTATCCTTATTTAAAGAACTAACGTTAATAACATGGTTGTATTTGTTTTTTTACTAGTTTGTTACAAGCAATGAAAGTTTTCTAATGAAGTACCGAAACTTCAACACCAACCCGACGGGAAAAAACATGACGATGTGCGTAAGTGCGACCATGATTGAAATGAACGAGACAACTCATTATGTGCTCCATAATATCACCTATTTGAATACGACAAGTAACAAGACGTAAGTATTGCAAGCGTTTTGATGTTTACATGCTTGTTAAGGTACATGACATGAGAGGGCCAAATTACACAGAACATATTTTGTGGCGCAAAATTTGCTTTTTTTCCGCCCGAAACCCGCCGGCTGAGAGCTGGCCGGTTGGAGTCGCTCTCATGCGATTCTCGGTGGTCAAATGACGTTCTTTATGGTTTAGACGTACACTCAATATTTAAAATAGAAAACAAAATATCGTACCCGTCTTTTGTGGCTTCTAGAAAACGGCAAATACGTTGACTGAAAAAAAAAAAAAAAGTGCACAGGAAACCAGAAGCACTCTGTGCATTCCCTGCGTAAGTCTCAACATGGCTGAATGAAGCCAACTTCTAAGCGATGGCGGTGGACGACAGACGTACAGCCTCTACTTCAGAACTCTTGTTAGCGGTACCTGCAAATCTGTCATGCTCCAAAAAACAAAAAAACAAAAAAAAAAAAACGAACATTTTACCGGTAAAAACAACTAAAATTTCTACCGCACCCGTCGTACGGAATGTATCTTAATGTTTTGGTTGTCGGGCCGCCAAGCTGATTCGCACGATGACGTCGCCAAGTCGTCGCTCCTTCTCCTTTCCGAAGACATCACACGCCTCACGAACACGAACTGGTTATAGCTTGAAAAACACCCGAACGTCGAACACGAAGTGCTTGACGTTCGCGTTTTTCGTGCACCGTTCGAAGTACGCGTTTTGCGTCTGCTTCGCTTGCCGAAAAAAACGAAAACAAAGAAGAAAGAAAACGCGATCGGGTGTAGTTAGGTGACTTCCGGTAACCCCCTTCATCTCTACATTGCCTCTTCCTCCCCATTCCAATTTCAGTTTCGGTTTTGAGCAGTCGCGATTTTTTACTTTCTTAAAAATACAGGCGGCGCTGCAGCAAAATATTCATTGGGTAGTTTTCTGACACAATGATAAATCGCCGAGGAGCTCATGAGAGGCGGTCGTATCGACTGTGTCGTATGCTATCGCTGCTTAGTTCCCGTGGGCCGAATAAAAACAAACATCGTTTCCTGTAATTATTTTTATGCTTACGTCGTGTCATTCCTACGCAGTGACGAGGAGAAGGTTTGTACCGTCGGAAAATCGTATTTCTTCCATAAGCAACGCCAATTTTACGCTGCAGTGCATGGAATTTATGGTGGTCTGCGTGCAGAACGACATAAACTACCTCTTTTCGTCTGCCAGTTTGCCTGACCAGCACGTCTTCTATAGTTTGCTGGAGTCACAAATACAGGTCTGCGCGCTTTCCCGGTCCATTAAAGCATGAAATGCTTTTTTTAACTCTACCCCGATTCCATAATTTCGTTCGTCCGTCTGTCCGTCCATTCGTCGGTGCCTTTTCCGCTAAATTTAGCGGGAAAAGTGTTGTCACATGATGTCACCTGACGTCACGTCACCTTGAGAAAATTGACGACTCGTGGCCTATACTCAGTTTCCCCACTAAATTTAGCGGCAAAATTCACGTCTTGTGACCAAAATATCAATCCAGTTTCCGCGCAAAATTAAGCGTCAAAGTGACGTCACGTGGCCTAAACACCAATTCAGTTACCCGATAAATTTAGCGGGAAAATGCACGTCTTGTCAACCAGACACCAACACAGGGTCCCGCTAAATTTTGCGGGGGAAATCCCCGTCACGTGAACTGACGTCACGTTATATCTAAAACCATTTATTTTCCCCGCTAATTACTGCCGGAAAATATACGTACGTGAAACACCAATTTTTTTACCGATTTCCTCAACAGTTACCTCAGCAAATGCCCGAAATAAATGCATAGGAATTTGAAGCCGAAGGTCTTTGTTTGCTTCGTGTTTAAAGGTGTTATTTCGGGGCGTATATTTTTCCCACGTTTGGTGTTTTTCAGTGTCAATTTTTGGTGTCGTACAAAACGTCGTCGTTTCCCGGGGTTTATGTTGAACAAAATAGGACACGGGAATGGGATTTTCCGACTTCAAGGGAAGATTATTTCTGATCCCAAAAGTTAGGAAATGTCCCGATACCGATAAGAGCAGGAAACGAGATTTCGGGTGCGGCTCGGATGAAGCAGCCTTGCGGACAGTTCTTTGTTCACAGTTAGCATGAAATAAATCTATAGATATTTTTTTTTCCTCTAGCATTTCACTTGTTTAAAGGCAGCTCCGATTCGGGGCTGTTTTACTCGAATTCAACGGAGCCTTATCGCAAGCCAAATGTTATAGTTCATCGCTTTTTACCGAATACACGGTACCTAGGGTGTATGTCACCTTAGCCCAAAGAGCGTCGGAAGTCGACCAGAGATGAAAAAGGAAAAGAAAAACGATAATACACATGATACTTCTTTCCCATCGCGGTGAAGTCGATATTCGAGATACGTAAGCTATCTTTGCACCTATAGACCCTTTCTTCAAGGGCGCCGCCATCCTGAATTGTCGTCACTTCCAGGACGAAAACATTGTCTTGCCGTCGCCACGCCAGTAAAAGACACTTAGGATATAAGCGTAACCGTTACACATTATCATTTTGCCTCCCACTTATTTTTTTACTAGTTGCAGGTTGAAATGTTTTAGTGTTTTTTCGTCGCCCATACCGCATACACCTATTAGGTGGCTGGGGACGAGGGTACACAGAAAAGGTCTATAAGAACGATGGCAGACGGGCAGGTGTGTGTTTGCTTTTGTCCGGATTTTGTAAGAAAGCTTTCTTCTCTTGAATTCTTAAACTGCTTTACAATTAAACGCGCTTAATTGGTCGTAGAGGCAACAATTATGCTTTAATAGACGAATTGTCAGCAATACTTTCTTCGTAATAAAAAAGATACGGTAGCCTTTTAGCGAATTGTAGAGGAAAACTGAATAAATAATTCCTCGAGTAACCCTTGCTTTTAACCACAGACGGACCAACGGTGTTATGGATGCGATGTGTTTGTTGCCGACAAAAGACTAAAATGTCAGCATGACCGATATCTGCAATGTTTTCTTACAGGATTCCATTCACCAAATCTTATTATGTCATCAGCTCAGAGTGTTACACCACGAGAAACGTTCTAAACGGAACAGTGACTGGCAGTAAGTCGCAGTCCTCGAAGTTGAAACAAATAGGTTTTCAATATGCCTAGCCTTTCAGTGAAGGCGATGTTGTTATTGATAGTGGCATTAAAAAACAGCAAACACGCTCCTGCTGTTCAATCGACTTGATTGCTTAGGTGAATTTTTTTACACCTCTATTGTTTATTGGAAAAACTGGAGAGGACAAGCGGAAAACTGCTGAAATGTAATGAAGGGATTTCGTATTTTAAAATTGTTATTTTAGTTGCCGCATAGTGAAACTATTTTTCCGTTCAAGTGAACCTTGAGAAAGAGATTGATTAAGGAAGTAATTGGAGTTTTGGGTTTAACAGCTGGAATAAAAACATCTTGCGTGCAAAATATTTTTTTAATTTATTTTAATTGTTATTTTAGAACCCATGTTAGCCGGGAACTACTGAGTTACTAATTGTTTCAACACTCGATTTTTTATAGCGAACACAAGTGAGCTGTATCCATTTGCATTCGCTGACAAAAATTGTGCTGTCATACGGAAAGATAGCTGGAGCAATGGTTAGTATCGCGGTTACGTACGTATTTTTATCATCATCGTCTAAGATGTAATGCAAACCTAAATAAAAAAAAAAAACGGACACCAAGACGAATCAAACAAAAACTTTCGCTCGAAAATTGCACTACTGGTGTTGATATTCACCAGTAAAATGACACCCATATTTTTCGTTTATGTGAGAGCTACAACGAACTGTTGATGTAACCTGTTTAACATTGTCTCTCACCAAGATTGAAGGGCGAAGATATGTCCATCAATCTGTGTGAACCTTTTATGTCCTATGCACAGGTAAACGAAAAAAACAAAAAACAAAAAAAAAACAGCAAGACTCTGGTTGACGCTGCTTCTCACTGATGGTACACCAGAAAGCAAAACCGTGAACACTTATTTGTGATGAAAACCGGAGAGCAGATGCAGCAGATAGGAACGTGTGTCCTACCAAATGGCAGTAGCAGTATCAACCAGATGATATTCGCCGTTTTGCTGCCTCTGTGCATAAGAAAGAAGTAGTTTTTTTCAGACTTTTTTTCAAAAAATTAAACCCACACTTTAGCACTTGAGCATCAGACATGAGCCACCTAAAGACACCTTTTCTGAAAAGGTTGGTGCGCCCTGCATTAACTATACGAACGTATTTACGTCCGAGTAATTCGCTTCAACGACCTGCAGAATGTATTTCGTGCAAACGCAGTATGACTTCCTGACCTTCAAATATACCTCCATGCAGCCGCAGCCACGTGCCTGCACACATTCCGCTTGAGTGGTAAATATAAGAAAGGTCTGTCAAATGACAGACCGTACAGAAGAAAAAAAAATTATAAATAAGTCACAGAGCTGCCCATTCTCTGTGTGTTTGAAACAAAAGTGTGTAATCTTTGTAGTATTTTTTTCGTAGAGTGAAATAAATTTAAAACAAAGGTTCATTTTATATGGAAATACGACACGATTATTTGGTTCAGGACTATTGAAGGATGGTTTTGAGCATGCGTTGTCAATCCTGTCTTACGACCCACGAATTCTAGGACCTTCCGAAAGGACAACAGCTTATAAGTTATGAAATAAAAGGAGAAAACATGGTCTTTCTCTGATCTTATCTAGGAGGAATATTTTTGCTTCATGAAAACGCATGTGCTGGAGCTTGGGCTTGAAGGTTCTACGTCGATGTTTGTTGAATACATCCGTCTGTTAACTATATTTTTAGGCAAATACATAAATAAGAAACATAATCAGAGAATGTTTTAAAACAGACTCTCAATTAATACGAATTAGGTGTAATATATTAAGAGCCAGAGTTCCCTAGCTCGCTTTACTGTGCCCGATGCCAAACAGTTTGGCAACGTAAGAATAAGTGACTCGCCTGCTCCTGGTAATGAACACGTAAACACTAACATAACAAAACGTTTTTGCCCAAAATAGTCTTCATAAATAATTGTTTCTTTTCTTTTTAGAAACATTCAAGGCCTGCGAAATGTGGGTGTATCAAAGTGCTCTCAATAAGGAGTTGAGCTGTTGTGACTTTGTGTTCGACCTCTTGTGTTCACGTGGTTATAAGCAAACAACGTATGACCCAGAACGCTGTAAGCCTGAAGACACTGAAGTGAATGCTGATCCTACAGCTTTAACAACGAGTTCAGAATTGACTTCGCAATAAATAAATATAATTATTAATATAGCACATCTTACTAGTTTATATTTATTGCTGGTATCTGTCAACTATGGACCGCTTAAAAAAAAACTGAAAATAAAAATAAACAAAATTTAAGTAGTTTGGTTGCGTCATTTCTGTCAAAAAATTAATTTTACACGAAAACAAAACGTGTTTTTAAGCAATATTGACGGCGCGAGATGCGATTTCGTTGGTAGTCACCTCCTTTCCACTTGTTTTCTCTCTCGGCATTTCGGGCGCGTGGAGGAGAGGTGGATCGGCTTCGCCTTCACGCTGAGGTGGAAAGAGCGAATGACCATATCGTTGAACGAATGACCATTCCGTAACGTCATGAACTTTGCGTGCAGAATTTCAAACAAATTTCTTGCCGTCAATATTGATCTAATAATATTTTTTTTCCTGCTTATAACTGTTTTTTCGACACTTTTGTCCCAACCAAACTGTTTAGTTTTTTTCTTTTCGGGGGCTCTTTAAGGATGTTTTGAAATAACTTGAAGACAGAAAGAGTTAATTGAACTTTTACCGGTGCCGCACTTAAGACAATAAAAAAATATTGCGTCTAACTTAATAAACACAAGAAATCACACAACATTTCTATTTTCTACTATCTTCCACTAGCATAGGCATTATGAAAGTCATTTATAGTTAAACTTATTTTCCCCAAATAACAGTCGCAAATGTGTTTGCCCTACTACTTATATCGTCCTGCACATGACTTGACGCAACAGCCTGGTTTCAGACACCTGTGTTTGAGGACGGCATAAGTGTTAAGGTTCCTTTTTTTTCTAGGGTTTTTTGGACCTTGGTCGCTGCAACAACCAGTACTACTATCTTCTCGCAAGCAGTCATAATCAGTGATAGGCAATCGTAACGCCGGCATGACCGTGCCGTAACGTAAACGCCCGAGTCAAGCTGAAGTAATAGATTTTCATATTGAATTATGAGCTTGCAAATGTCGGAAAGGGCCCGTCTTCCAGGATATCTAGGGAACCACTCCTCCCCATAGGGACAGGCTGGAAGACGGGCCCTTTCCGACATTTGCAAGCTGAGATGACGTGCCACGTCACTGCCGCATGTCGGAAATAGCGCGGGCCTTAAATCAGCAACGGTTGTCGTCTACCCAGTTAAGCGAATTCGAAACTAAACAGTACACAGAGAGCTGGTCAGAAATTGAGTCCGCCGAAACCAGTGGCCAGGATGGTCTAATCGGTTAAGGCGTCGCCCCGGACAGGCGAAGGTTGCGGGTTCAATCCCCGCTCCTGGCCCAATTTTTCGCCAGCTCTCTTTCCCTTTCCCTTTCCCTAACTTTAATGCAATAAATTCAATAATCACCTTCTCCCCTCTTCGTTCTCAATATTACTACGGCTGCACTTGTCAATCTTCACTCAATCCCATTATATATATACGGTGCAGCCTGTCCCTATGGGGAGGAGTGGTTCCCTAGATATCCTGGAAGACGGGCCCTTTCCGACATTTGCAAGCTGAGATGACGTGCCACGTCACTGCCGCATGTCGGAAATAGCGCGGGCCTTAAATCAGCAACGGTTGTCGTCTACCCAGTTAAGCGAATTCGAAACTAAACAGTACACAGAGAGCTGGTCAGAAATTGAGTCCGCCGAAACCAGTGGCCAGGATGGTCTAATCGGTTAAGGCGTCGCCCCGGTCAGGCGAAGGTTGCGGGTTCAATCCCAGCTCCTGGCCCAATTTTGCGCCAGCTCTCTTTCCCTTTCCCTTTCCCTAACTTTAATGCAATAAATTCAATAATCACCTTCTCCCCTCTTCGTTTTCTATATATATATATATATATATAGAGAGAGAGAGAGAAAGAGAGAAGGTGTTAAAGCCGAACCACATAGGAAATATTCTCGACGAATTTACGGGCGTTTTAGTGGGTGTAATCACGGGATTTGGCGAGCGCTTTTTTCACAGAAGGGAACAGGGGAAGGTCGCCAAACCACGCACGACGCTTTCCGTCGACGTCTCCTCAGCGTTTGGTGCAGTGTAGCCCGACTCGCGCCTTTCATGAAAGGAGGCAAAATGTAGATAGGCTGCTATATTGTTGAGTTCCGCGAGGAGACAGAAATAACTGCATATTAATAAGGAACCAAAGCCTAATTTGCTAACACCTGTTTAAAAAAATGTTCGTTCCAACCTTTAAGTTGCCAAACACTCCCGGCAGGAGGACGGCCGCGATCTCTGCTCAAAACCCTTCCTTTTGTAATTATTCTCACATCGGCCGCAACATTGATGGTATTTTCTTCTGACTCAGTTGTTCATCGCTCGTTCCAAAGAGATATAGCGATTTCGTACAGTTCACAGATAAACCGGTGAACGCGACAAGCGAGCTCCCATTTTGGCGGCCCAGTCAAGCCAATTAGCCAGCCGCATAGCTAGACAAGCCGATTCTAGAGCAACTTCCGGCTCTCAACTCAGGAGCGGATTGGCCGGCACCGCGCCGTACGCTTCCGGATGCGCCGCGACGAAATACGCCGAAGCGCCGAGATCTGTCTCGGTCGGATCGCCGAATACGCGCGTATTTACGCCGACCTTGGAAGCGCTCGTCCCGATGCCCGCTGTACGTCGGGATTACGCCCGCCGAAATGCCCGCAAATACGTCGGAAATACGCCCTGTGTGGTTCGAGCTTTAGGCGCCTGTTTGCGGCTCCAGCTGCGTCGCCGTCGACGTCGGCAAAACCGCGCGTTACATTATGGAACGTTTCCCATAATGACGTCAGACGCGACGCCACGTGTGACGTCACAAGGGTCACGAGTGACGTCACGAAGGTCACTCGTGAAGGTCACGAGGGAGGGGGAGGAGGAAGGAAAGAGGAGAAGGTGGAATGAGGCGAGGAGGAAGGAGGGAGTTCAGAGGGAGGAGGAGGAAAAAGGAGAGGGTAGAGGCAAGGATAGGGGATTTGTTCAAATTATGTATGCGTTTGCGTGCATCTTTTTTATGCAAAACTGCATGTAGGTGTCAACGGTGCACCCTTATGTAGGCCTATGGGCTGTTTAGGGGCACCGGAAAAGTACAATAAATAAATAAATAAATAAATACCCTTCTCTCCATAGCATCCCCTCCTCCTCCTGAAGAGCTGCGCTCTAATTCGGCATTGCAGGGAATTTTAAACGTCTTTCATTTGTTTCGCTTCCTATTTGTGTGTGTGTGTGTGCGATCCTGCCTTCGTTATTCGTTAGTTGCTCAAAAGACGTCGCATTAAAAATATACATCGATTGCAAAGAGAAATAGGCTCCTCTTAACGTGTGTTTCGGTAACCAGCCCACTATACTAAATGGGGTTACCTTCCTGTTTTAGATGCAGCTCTTAGGCTCCCGTTTCCCAGTTTCGCCGCGTCGGCGTAACCGCGCTACATTTAGCGGGAAAACTGACGTCACGCGATCTCAACACCAATTCAATGCTCCGCTAAATTCAGCGGGAAATAAAACTGCAGTAGTAAAACTGTGGGAGTAGGGGAGGGTTTGGGTGAGGAGGGGAGGGTACGCAGGAGGAGGAGGGGAGGGTACGGAGAAAAAGGAGGAGGGGAGAAGAGGAGGAGAAGGGTACAGGAGGAGGAGAGGAGCAGGAGGAGGAGCAAAGGAGTGGTGGAGGAGAGGATACAGAGGAGGTGCATACTTTGCTTTCCGTTTCCTCCCCTCCTCATCCTCAAGAGCTGCGCTCCAATTTCGCATTACAAAAATTTGTGAACCTCTTTCATTTTTTCAGCTCATCGCCGCCAACTTTCTTAAATAATGGTTGTTATACATTTTCTTTCTGGTTTAGCACTATAGTAAATGGTGCTTTAAAGGGATACTTCAACGAACTTTGAAATAATCCCGTCGTGTTCAAAAATAGGTTGATTATGATCCACAATATCCGTAAATGGCAATCGCACGTTTGTATTTTGAGCCTGGTGGCTGTACTTTTCGTTATAAACGGCCCACTCTGGCAAGCGCTCGGACAAGACCCAGCGGAGACCACGTGACATCCAACGCAATCGTGACGTAGGTCGTCTCGGGACGAGCAAAGTTACGGCGTGGCTGACGTCGAGAGGATGGCCTAGTCGTTCCAGCCACCAAAGCCGCCGCTTTTGTACGAATTTTGAGTGACGGGTTAACCTTCTATAATCTTGTAGGGGGACAATAGCGACTTCTGCGACACACAAAAGGGATTCTCGGGAAGAGGGGAGTTCCTCCTTCCCCCCTTCTCTCGTCGTAGCCGGAGGCGAGACATTCACCGTCACTAGCTGTCAAGGTTCCTAGACGGGCCTTACAAGCGAGGCGTTAGCGACATCCACCAGGTGCTCTTTGCTAATCGTTTAATTCGCTTTAAAATTCCTTTTCCCGTCTTTTTTAACAAGATATTCGTATGTTCAAGGTGATGCTGCTCCTTTGAACACATATAGACAAAAAGAAATGAGCGCCGAAATTCCGTCGTAGTGTCCTTTTAAACTGCGCGAGGAATTAAAAACCTTTTTGTTGGGGCACTGTGATGCCCTGGACTCGCAATAAATTCTACACGTTTCAGATATCATTTTGTGAACAATGGGTGCGTTCATTAGCATCTCCATTGACATCAAAAGAAACGACTTGGGTTACGATGTTAATGAAGGGTTTTATAACATGGGGCCCCAACGTTTGGGTGCCCCTACGAAATTTGGGGTACCAAGTGCAGCAAGATTGGCACCGTCGGAGTAGAGAAAAGGGTTTATAACTTTTTACTAAGGCAGCGCGGCGCACTTCCGTTTCCCGCTTGTAGTGACAATGCGGATAAAAAGCGTCGTATAAAAAGATAAAATACTAAAAATGTAAAACATGGGCGCTTATCAAGTACTTTTCGTTTACAAGTAATAGTTAAGGCAAAACAAAATCAAACCGGCTAAAGAAAAAACAATCTTAAATCAGTATAGGAATTGTTAGCTGTTTTGAGCCAATCCGATCCGTAGCGCTCTAATTTGGTCCTCGCTATCGGACTGATTTTAGCGTTGGTGTTTCGCGTTGAGCGTTTGTTGCCGAAGAGTTAGGCATTCAGCTATGCCAAAACTAACGTTGGCCGAAACTGAGACGAACGCGAGGGAGCGCACTCTGCGAGCAGCTGCTGTCTTTAGATGTGAGCTGGAGCGCGTTGGATGCTTTGGACGACTTGTTTTTAAGCTGCAAGTACCGTGGCACGAGCGAAATCTACTCAGAGTCTCAGAGTAGTGAGACTTCGCCACGTCAACGGTTACCGCGTCTCTTTTTAGGCTTAGGAACGGCCAAAATCGGAAGACAATCTTCGATATGAAATGAGCTCACCACCCATTCTTTCTGATCTGCGCGAGGAAAACCGAAGCGAAAACCGACTGCACCATTGACTGACAACGAACGTGGCTAACACTGCAGCAACTATGACGGCTCCGAAGAGAGCGGAAAGGACGCCGCCATGGTTTGCCGATGCAACCGGGTCCCGAGCAGATAGGGGCCCTACGCTATTTCTTGAATATTGCGTTAGGGGTGACCGCCAATCCAAAACCTAAAACGCAGTTTGGGTTCGGCGAGTGCGCACTGGTGAGACCTTATTTTTGGGGGGCCCCCAAGCTCTGGGACCCCCTATTCGAAAGCGCTATAATGGCAAAGGAGCATGTCCCTCAAGCCAGCTATTGAATGTCGTAAGCAGCAGTCGATCTTCGAATAAATAAAATCCGGGCAACGCCCAACATGATAGCTTTTATTTGAACCTCTGGGCGTTATCATTTTGAAACCGGCAAGTAAATGTAGCAGCGTCTGTTTTCGAATTGTACCCACTTGCGATGGAGTGCACTAACTGAAACTTCCACAACGCTTAGTAATAAAGGTAATGATCAACTTATGCGGAGCATGGAAAGCAGTTTGTGTATTATACAGAGCGCGATAAAGTTCGTACTGAGGAGCAAATGCGGGAATACCCATTTCTCGTTCAATTGAATGCTGACATAAAAACTGCCGGTATGGTAGAAATCAATCATCTAGGGCACTAAGTTAGTCGATAAAACTAATATGGGTGTTAATTATTGACTGTTTGAGCGAAACGTAAACCAGCGCCTATGTGTTTGCGTTGACTATTTGGGATGCACGGAAGCGGTTCGGACAACATTTGACGGGAATACGTTTATTCAGCACGTATTTGCGAACTACCTGTGAAATCAATTGCTATAGATTCGTAAAATGAGCCGGGTTTCGATTATATATTCAGTTGCGATATGCAACGACGTGAGGGTCAGCCGACGGCCGGCATTTCCTCGCACGCATCTTCATTTAGCTGCACATTTGGGGAAAACAATCGTCCCCCAGCTGTGAAAGTCATTGAGTGAACAAAAGTTTTTTATTATGTCGGCATTGCTCATTCGAAAGTTGCAAAAAAACTTGTATTCGTTCGCATACGCATAATTTGACATGTATTAAGCTCGCAGGCGCACTGAATTTCAATGAATGTCCTCACATTATGTTTGTAGTCTCATTCATGAAAAAGCTCTTTCTTTGACAAGTGTGTGTCACGATACATGATTTCTGGGTTCCTAACTGCCTTAAGTTTTCTCATAATAGCAACCCCGCGTAAACCGTAGACTAGCTCGGTGGCATCGCGTCCCGGAAATTCTGCGCCGCCTGCCGCTAGCTGGCGGAGTATAAGGGGCGACAGAGGTGAGACAGCTGGTCCGGTCGCTCCTATTGCAAGTTGCTTGAATTTTCCCCGTGCTGCATGACACACACCACGCTTGCTCTGCATCCTGAAAAAGAGAGAATGACGTAAAAAATATTTCGCGACAAAATGACCTTTATTTTTGCCTTTTTATATCCATCTTTTACGTTTTACGTTTTCATTGGAATAGGTTTACGTTTACGTCGGTTGCGAACTGCAACACGGGAGCTTCGAAACATCCTGAAAGCGGAGGTGCTATGTACAACACTGCTTCAACTGATACTAAAAAAAAAAAAAAAAAGCCTTGCGAGATTTAGGTGTCAGCCATTTTGACATTTAGGAGCACACGAGAAAACAAGACGTAGCTAGTATCAGACAGAATTGTGATTTCCCTATATTTTCAAAGTTTATTTTACTGCTCAGATTTGTGCCGTCGTTAAGATGAGCGCTTGCTTAACAATCAAGATCGGCAGATGGTGGACACCCTTTAGTCTGTGACATCAGACGCATCACCAGGCGTGGCTTGTCATGTTCGTGCTTCGTGTTGAATGGTTTGTTCATTCAAATTTTTATTGACCAATGGCGCAGCAGTATTAATACTCCCAGAAATCGACACGTCGAGCGTTTCTGAAGCTGTCAGTGGCACTATATATATGTGTCATCGTTGTCTTCGTGCTCTATGATGTATGCACTCTTGCTAACAATCTTAGAGTGTTTGAAACAAAGGTGTGGTTCAACTTCCAATTATGCCGTTCTAGAATGAAACCAGCAGGACAGGTTCTTGTAAAACGCACCGGGAGACACCTCTACAGCTCGTTGATGTATATCCAGACACCTCCTTCCGGATACGCCAGCGTGAACGAAGATCCAATCTTTAATCCGTTCTGTGATGAGAAAACAAAAAAAAAATAGTCAGAATAATAATATTATAGAGTATGAGAGGATAACATAGTTGAAAAAAGTGTAAGGGCGTAAGTTTAGATAGAAATCAGACGATTGAACCCATATTTGTCTGTATAGTATATTTCATATGAGATCAAGTATAATAGAGGCACAAAATAAGCAGATGTGTTCTTGCTGCCTAAAATCTAGTGAGCTTACTTTTTCACATGGCACTTGGGACCGTCAATCTCTACGGTCTCCAAGGGAGGACATATATATATATATATATATATATATATATATATATATATATATTGTAAAGACGCGCCTTAAACAAAGCTAAAAAGTCAATATTTAGCGATCGCCCGCGACCTTTTTCATTCGCTTTAGCCCATTTGCACTTGCTTTTTTACATAAGAAAAGCCGCGTAATATCAGAGGCGCCGAGATGGAAAGCTCTAACCACTTTTCTGTGATTTTTTTCGAGAAAATGAAAAGCACAGTAAAAGCTTCGGCCTAAGTAAACACGTGTACAGTCGATTATTGGTGCCACGATACCAATTGACTGCATCATAAAGTCTCGCCGCCAAGCTTAAAAAGTGATTAAATTGTAAACCACGCGGAACAACTGCTTTTTTGTGTGTGCACCAAAAGATTGTATTATGCGATCTCTCACTTCATTGTCAAATCCTTAAAGGCTTGTTATTTCCTTTGTATGATGTCTTGAATTTAAAATCTTAATAATTATTCTAGATAGAGTAAATAATGAAATGATGTGAAAAGCATTTCATTTAAAGGGATAGCAGGTATCATAACTTTTATTTGCAAATTTCATTTCACTCTGGCTGTGCCTGGTCCATGATCACTGACGTGACTAAAACTACCCTAATTAAATTGTGATGCTGGAAAAAAAGATTTTGTTGCTCATTGGATTAGTTAAGATCCAATGACCCACGTTAAGATGCCATAACCCACGATCATACTTTGCCTAAATCTATGCTTACCTTGTGGCGCTCTTCATCAAGTGTGAATTTGTATTTCGAGAGCAATTTAGCCAAGGTCATCTTCAGTGTGAGTTGGCCGAACCTCATAGCTACACAGTTGCGTGGTCCGTTACCAAATGGTTGATAGGCCATCGGCTCGATTTTATCTTTGTTCTCGGGGCTGAATCTGTCCCCCAAAGGAGAAACACAGTGTGTATCATACGCTGAAAAATATAACAGCAATCTACATCGAGGTCTGACTCTGATTAGGTCTTCAGAGGGAAAAAAAGTGCAACGGTTCTGTTTGTCCTACATTGTCTCAGGTCACAGGTTACATCTAGGTGTCATTATGACACAAGGCATACTTGGCGGCAGCTTATAAAACGCCGTGACGGGTGATTCTTGAGCACCGTAATACTGATCCGATGGCAAGGAGATTATGGCTGCAGCAGATAAAAACCCCTAAGTGATAATTTGCAAAACAAGAAGTTTGAACACGTAAAGCCTAATCCTGCGTTTCTCAGGGTTGGGTTGACCCACTTTCGGCTGCTGAAGACAAGTGAGGCTTAAAAACCGTTTGTGTCGTAGTCGGTACAAGTAGTACGTAAGTGTGTGAACCAGACTCTAAGCTGTATGTGACCGAGGGAACCAAACTTCTGTCGTTTGCAAGCAGCCCCGCATTCAAAACTAGCCTGGCCACCCTTGAGAAAAAATACTTTTGCTGAAGCACGAGTTTGTCAACTATGGACACGTGTTAGATTATAAAACAACCAACACACACCAGAAGCAAAATGGCGGCGCCCGTCGACCCTACTTGCAAATGTGTGTGTCTTACTAAATATGTTTCAGGGAGCGCTGACAGGGTTATTATACTAATACATTGCACTTTTAGTGGAAGAGTTTAAGTCCTTTCGATTTTAATAAAACAGCTATTGTCGCACCGTGAGAAAAAGAAAGTAATAAAAGTAGGATTAAAAGTGAAGAGATACATTATTAAATATAACAAACAAACAGAAGATCCTGGAGTACGTTTGAACATGATTTTTTTGGTATCTGCTTTCGATTCCACAACCTAATTTTTCCAATAGCACCTACACAGTGATTCAATTACGTACACATGTGGCACTAACATGGACGATGAAAAGAGCTCATTTATGCTAACATCTATGGCTACATGACAAAAAGATCACAATTTTTTTCTCAATTGTTTTGCCACGCATTATGAAAGCAAAATATATAATAGATAGATTTATTCAACCCAATACAAATTAGACAAAGTTTTCCAAACGCATTCCGCCAAGCAACAAAAGTATGCAACCAGAAAGGCGCAGGGCCAAGAGGAGTACACCTAGTATAAAATTGATTAGTTATGTATTTGGTTGGCAGTGATATGTAAATTTGCCACGCGTAAAAACGGTAGTACCACAAAATAAACAACTGCTGTAGTAAAAATACCTTTCGGGATCAAATTCTTCTGGATTTTCCCAGTACTCTGGATCATGGTGAAGTTGATAAGCAGGAACCACCACAGTGATACCACTGGGAATTTTCAGACCTTCATATTCGTATTCGTTGTCACATCTTCTTGTGATGAAACTGCATTAAAGATAACGCTAAAATTACATATCTTTCTGGCAAGAAAACAAAGCACATTTACGTGCATTTATGCTTTTGAAACTAGTTACATTTTTAAAGGACATTATTACAAGGCACTTCATATATATGAACACTTTTTGGGAACAGGTGGACATCCTAGTTAAAGCAAACAGGCAGACGAGATGGTTAAGGGTAGACCTGTCTGTCCTTCCCCTTTTTTGCCCCCTCGCTCCAGGGTTAGTATGGACATCCTAGTCTATAATACAGTTAAGTAAGGATAAAGTCTGGTGCAAAGGCATAGGAGCTGAGGGGAGGGAAGAAAACTTCAAGCTATATCATTTATGCAAGCCGACAAGTAATAATGCTAGTCAAACTTGCGCAATCTAAAGTATACGGGTTAGGAAAACAAACAAAGCTAGAGAATAGAAAGAACACGTGAATGTAAAAGGAAATTGTTGGGTATAAAAAAGAAGAAAAGTTTACTTAATTATATTGATAATAAAAAATTTAACTATATCCCACGTCTCCGCATTCAATATCAAGACTTATTTTACCATTTAGCAAAGGAGCACTCTATAAGCGTCTAGAATTTATCATTAGTTTTAGTTATTAGTTAAAATGCACTTTATCCACAGCGGAAGTGTCTGCTGTAAATACGAACCCCACGACGGGCGGGTAGAGCCGGAGGACCTCCGATATCACTTGATCCAGCAATCGCATGCTGAACACGCCATCGTAGGTTAATCCATTCTGCATATTAAAACATATTTCATAGTTAATCGTTTAATACATTCTGTATTCATGTGTAACTCGATATTCCTATTCCAACAACATTTGTTGAAACAATTTACATCATGAAGACCGTAACCTGCATGCTAAGAGATTTGAGAAGACGGATTATGGGACTAGTCATTGGCAAGGATTTTACTAGAAATATCAGACCAATAAAAACTCTTTCTTTAACAAACGTGCTACTTCTCACGCAGAGAACCGATCAATCGATACGTGAAAAATAGTCATCAATGGAATGGTGCCAGAAACATTGCCCGCAATATTTGTTATTTTCCGTTTTGTTGATATTAAGGCAGAGGGGTTAGCCAGATTGTATGGCGTAAGACGTCTACAGTTGGCGATTGGTTAAGAGTTCAGATGAAACTCTTCCCACCCCTTTCTTGTTTAGCGAGGCGGACGCTGGAGAGGAGGTCACCTCCTTTCTAGCGTCCGATATGCTAAAAGAACAACCGCATATCCACTTGGTGAATCATGTTGATTGGGGCGAAGCTCTAGTGGTGCTTGTCTGCGTAGACGCTGAGCGGCAGCACGCCGAGCCTTTCGTTCGTTTTCATCCATGTCACGCTGCGGTCAAATGCTCAAATGCATATATAACCACGTTCCACACCACAGATTCTCTTTCTGATATGGATGCAAACGAACGAAAGGCTCGGCATGCTGCGGCTCACCGTCTACGCAGACAGGCACCACCGGAGCTTCGCCCCAATCAACATCATTCACCACGTGGAGATTCGTTTTTGTTTGCCCTACACGAGCACGGGAGCACGTGCTCACAAGCTCGTGAGCACGAGCACCCGACGCCGGACAGCTGACGGACATACGGACATGGCTAGCCCCTATAGTCTGTTTCATACCTAGCGTGCAACGCTGTCAAGGCTACTGGTGCGAGCGCTTGGCTTCGTCTATGGTTTTGTTTGCGCGAGAACGCGTGCAAATGATCAACCAGATGAAGCCCCACGCTCGCGCCAGTAGCTTTGACAACGTTGCACGCTAAGTATGAAACAGAGTATAAGGAGCTTCGCCCCTAAAAGTAACCACCGAATTCAGAACCAACACATACAATTCTTTATATCAACAGGACACCTTCTACCCTCCCCACAAAAAATGAAGCATAAGCATTGACACCGTTCTATAAGTCCCTCATATTTTAGAGTTCGAGACGTTGTCTTCTTGAGCATTATTTTCACAGAATGAAACTATCTACATCCAAGAGAGAGGCCATATAATTAATTTCTACAAACGACTATGGTGAAAAATATATACACGAGAACAACGCAATACCTCCTTCTCAATTATTGACTTGACTTCCTCTCTTGTCTTATCTTGAATGTCTGGATGCTTTGCCAGAAGATAAGCGCTGAATGCCAGTGTTGTACCAGTCGTTTCAAATCTGAAAAGGCATATCAGACCAAATATGTGGGTTGTATCACCAAATAATTTGAAAGCAATTTCTTTATCAATCATCCAAAACGCATTGTCACATTTCATATGGGCGTTTGGCCTGCCATTCTTTTTTATATTTTTTTCTTACTACTAATATAAGTGCTTTCTTAACGGATAATTCGATGCGTCATGTAGTTATTAGCAAGACACAAACGAAGACTCCAAAGAACCAAACCGGTTCTTGATAGGCCATGAGACAATTGCGCATGGTAATTTCCTGCTTTGCATTCATTTTTATATATACCCGTTCACCTCTAAGCTGATAGTGAATTTGGAGCCACGTGCTCGTTTTACCAATCGATGGCCTCCCTTTTGTTAACCGATCCGTCTCTGCGCGCGTGGGTACGGGTGGGAGCGTGATTAAGTGGCTAAAGACAGACGAATAACTTGTCCAACGGCCACGTAGCTTCCACTGCACAGCCAGCTTGCGGAAAATCATGATAAAACTTGCAAAAACATTTACCCGCATGAAAAAAAAAATTCAAAGCCGAAAATGCGGAGGCGAGTTGGGTCTTCGGGGAGCTCTGTTTTTTTCACTGGAAATAAGATTACTGGTGGATTTTGTTCATATTGATTACTTCAGTAGAATGGCTTGTTCATTCTGAGCTGCAGAGTGACGCCGTTTGTCTCAGAGTTCAAGATTTAGTATGATGCTTATAAGGTGTATAAGAGTTGGCTTTACAGAAAGACAAAATCCAAAAACATTTTGATGCACTTTCAAGGCACGCGAAATGGTAATTTATCTGCGCATACCCAGCAATGAGGAATGTCGAGGCGTTTGCCTGGATCTCCTCAGTCGTCATCCGACGTTTTTGGTTAATCTTGGTAGATTGTTCCGCCCCTGTTGCACAGAAAGAAATCATAAGTTGTCGAACTTTAATAAGCTACTGAACGCTAAGTACCATCCTAAAGGCGTTCCTTAACGACTATGCGAAACTTATTTTAGTTAGTCGATGTGAAATTTCACGTCGTTAATGAATATGTTTTTGCGAAATTTCCATACCGAAAAATACCAATCTTTGCTAAGTAAAAATCACACATGCGTTTACTTTCATTATTCTCAACGTCTCTGAAAATCGGCATAATTTTCAAATTCTCAATATTCCTCAAATGAGTGTTTATAACAATTCAAGATCCTTACCAATAGAATACATTAAGAAAATAAAAACTCATAGAACTTACGCTCGGGCATTGATTCATTTTCGTATTCCACAGTAAGCTTATCCACATCCACAGAAGCATCAGCATCAGCTTCAGCATTTAGCATCAGTTGGAGCAAGTCTTCAGCACGAGCCTGAAAGAGTTCAAAAATTATTTTTTAGATCGCCCCCTCTAATCATGACACATCGCTACCAATCGCCAATAATAAAAGAAAAGTGAGTTACCGACATCGCACGCATGAATAAAACAGAAATGTAATACAAAATTGAAAAGCGCTTCTGCCGCGTCCTTTCGAGCAGTAAGTCGAATAAACATTAAAACTTCTTGAGGACAACTTTAAGAAAATTAAAAAAAGGTGTTTGTTTTTGTTTAACGTGTTATCTGAAAATCCTGATAACTATCGGTTTGGAAATCCTGAAATCGATCACCCCTGCAAAGCGGACTATACTTTTTGCTAAACCAACACATTTAAATGCTCACCCCTCCCATGATGCATATAAGATTAAAATAGCTTGCTCTCAAGATTGGTAACTAGTAGTAATTACAAATGCCTTTCGCATGTGATTTTTAAAATGTTTGAATAATGTTAATATAATGATGTTTCCTGACCCTTTCTTTTTTCCTTTTGTGTTGTGATTCTTTAATTATAAGAAATCGTATTTGACTCCCCCTTTTCGTAGGGCGTTCCCCAAGAGACGCTTAAGGTAATACACTAAAATATAATATGGTATCTTTTATTGTATTGTATAAGGCTTATAAGTGAAATCACGGTAAACTTGAAATGCGAATAACAGAATATGAGGTTTTTGAACGAGTTTCAATGAAACAACCAGCACCAAGTTTTTAACAACGGATCCATCAGATAAAATATCCAGTAGGTTAAACTTCGAAAACAAAAGAACTTTGACAGGCGTTCTTGAGAAAACGAATGCAATTAACTAGACACGGCAAGATTATATCTCAATTTGTTTGGTTAATAAATGAACGAGCCATTGTGAAACGTGACGCCACGTCGCGTTATTATGTCGCGTGGTAATGTGATTTCACTAGATACTGGAACTTCGCATCGTGACTCCTATGACACCTCTTGACCTGGCATGGCTTGAACACCTGATCTGTCGTGGTACAAGCAACGTGACTCCATAACCCACGGTAACGTCCTAGTAAACGGCATCACTTTGTGGATATGGTGACGCGACGGCAACAACTGCGCATACTCAAACTTAGCTTTTATGAAAATAAATGTGTCATTTAAAAAGGTCATGGTGATGGTGTGCACACTGAATGATACTGTTTGCTGCTCACATTTGGTTTTAGTCGACGAGTGTGAATGAGAGGAAGCATGTTATCTTGCATCTGGTCCAACGGTAGTTTCATGTATCCAGATCCGAAGTAAAGCAGAACTCGCCATAGGGGAGAAAACTCAGGAAGGCAGTCTGCGATCACACAGAGAAGGTAAAAACAGTCAAAAGAGAATACTGCATTCGTAAAATAATTTTCGGAAAAGTAGAAGCAATTAATGCACCGAACCCAAATGTAAACGTATTCGACAGAGATCTGTCTGGTTGGGAAATAAATTGACTGAAATGAGAAAATTCAAACTCTAACCAAGTTTGAATAAAAACAAAGCACCCTACGTCTCGGGACCAGCTGGGTTCCTTGGTCACGGGTGACTATGGGTTGGGCGAATATTCTTCCTCATCTTCATCTATATCATCTTAATGATCTTCAACGTCATCTTCATCAAAAATATCCAGCGCTGGAAGTCGGTTCGGAAGGTTTTGCGAATGTTCTCCGTCGTCTTCATCTATATTATATTAATGATTTTAAACTTCAACTTTATTAAGAATATCAAACGCTGGAACCCGGTTCGGAAGGTTACGCCCGTGTTATTCCGTTAAGCGACGAAGTCCTGAGGCATATACGCTTGGGAGAGTGCCCGATGATTTGTTGGCGTTTTCTTTGTTGTTTGGATATACCAGGATTCTAGGTGCAGACGTTTACGCCAGTATTTTTCCGTGGCCAGAATCTCGCTCTCGTCAAAGAACACGCTGTGACCCAGTTTTTCGGCGTGTTCAACGAGGGCACTGGCTTGGACGGCGTTCTTCTTCACGTCGTATTTGTGGTGGCAGATGCCGCCACAAATACCCTTGATGACGATGAAGTTGAAGATCATTAAGATGATATGGATGAAGACAAGGAAGATTCGCCCAACCCAGTCACCCGTGACCAAGGGACCGAGCTGGTCCCGAAACGCAGGGTATTCTGTTCTTGTTGAAACCTGGTTATAGTTTCAATTTTTCAGTGAGTCCACCAAACCCAAATGAAAATTATAAAAAAATATGCAACTGTAGAAAAATGCGAAACTAGCGCCGCTGTCTGTATTTCACCTAGTGTTTATCAAGATGGGAGCATCATTTTTTTACGCTAAAAGCACCACTTCAGCAACCTCACATGAAATATGGAAATATTATTCAGCAATAAATCTTTACAATTACAAAGGACTCATTCAAATTAGGAACAATTCCTTGACTTAGGGTCTACTTTCCCGCAAAGCATTTGAGACAGCCAATCGCTGCAATATACGGAGGGAGTTCCATGAATCAGAGCCAAACACTCCTAGATACCCATTATATATATATATATAACGGGCATGGTGGCGGGAGGCCGAAGGCGTGGGTATAAAACTGAGAAAAAAAAAACCCTTAGTGAAAACAGCAACAACGGGCGATTTAATCTTCGACGTTTCGGCCGGAGTCCGGCCTTCGTCAGGAAGAACTTTTACAGATGAACGCGGGTGGTATCTATACAATGCTACGGTCGAGTCCAAATTTCGGAGGGGTGACGGTTGAAGCTTTCGAGAGAGGGAAGCGTAGGGCAGTTCTTATCCGGGTTCTTATTCCCTATAGCCAAGCTCATCGTTTCAAACGAATTTGTTCAAAAGAGACAGATTTTGATGCGAGCAGTCAAAATTTAAAGTCAGTGCTAGAGAAACAAAAGTATCCACCCCGCATAATCGACGATGCAATCAGAAAAGCCGAACAACTGAACCGCGCAGATCTCATCAGCCCGCGAACCACGCAAAGCGACACACAACGCACAAATCTATGTCTAACTTATAGCATAAACCATCCTAATGTAAACAATGTCTTGAGACGACATTTTAACATTCTCGAACAAAGCGAGCGCCTTAAACGCGCGTTTCCATCCGCCCCGGGGGTAGTCCACAGACGATCGCGTAACCTCAAAGACGCGCTAGTAAACTCTCGGATAAATTCATCGCCACCACCTAACGAATGTAGGCCTTGCAGGCACCCAGGATGTCTAATCTGTAAACAGATGCAGCACACAAGCACGGCCAGCAGCACGCACTCGCAGTTCTCGATCAAAATTAAAGGGAACTTAACATGTGCCTCGTCAAATGTCATTTACTTATTCGAGTGTACGGTATGCAAAATGCAATACATAGGGCAGACTAGAACGGCATTTAGACTGCGCTTTAATAATCACAAATCTCACGCCATAAATCTTCCGGCACTGCCTTTATCCAAACATCTCGCTCTCCCAAAACATTCGTTTGATAAATTGTCCGTGACGCTCCTAGAATCTGGATTTAAACCAAATCGCGAACGTGAACAGCGTGAGTCCTACCTAATTTACCGATTTAACACTATTAAACAAGGAATAAATGAAAGCCCCGGTACTCTGGCATCGATTAAAATGCTAACAGACGAATAACAACAGCAATCAAAAAACATTTTTTTTTTGTTAATTTTGTTGTTAACAGTGGTACTGTGTTTGGGGCCGGAACTGGACCATCAACTTTTCTTTTATTTCCAGGTTCTGATCTCCATTGCTTTTCTTTTTACTTCTAGGTTTAACATTGTTCCCTTCCAGGTTTGACTCATGCATGCCTGCATGCACACAAGTGACCGTGCCGCCTTTTTTTTTTTTTTTTTTTTTTTTTTTTTTTTTTTTTTGAGACAGCACTTTAGTTTTCGCGTGTAACTTTCGTCTATTGTACGCTATCGTCTATATTGGTCACCGCTGCCGGCCCGGACACAAAGTCACCCTGCGCCCCCTCTCAAGAAGCTACAACCGTCATCCCGCCGTCCTTGAAACTTGGCACCGACCGTCAAGCTTCTTCACCCGGATAAGAACTGCCCTACGCTTCCCTCTCTCGAAAGCTTCAACTGTCACCCCTCCGAAATTTGGACTCGACCGTAGCCTTGTATAAATACCACCCGCGTTCATATGTAAAAGTTCTTCCTGACGAAGGCCGGACTCCGGCCGAAACGTCGAAGATTAAATCGTCCGTTGTTGCTGTTTTCACTAAGGGTTTTTTTCTTCTCAGTTTTATATATATATATATATATATATATATATATATATATATGTGTGTGTGTGAGTGTGTGTGTGTGTGTGTGTTTGTGTGTGTGAACGGTGGGAGCGCGTGCCATGGGACAGGTCACATAACTCCAGCCCCTTCCGCAGTGGGTTGAAGGAGAAACAAACCGATACAGACGATAGGCTTAGCGTCAAACCAGTGTTGTGCACGTTACTCAAAATGAAAAATGAAAGCTCGTTATCGTTCCTTCTCATTTTTTTAACACGTTCACGTTACAAGTTTCATCTGTGAGAAACTCGGTCCCGTCACTGTTGAAAAATGAACGTATCGTTACATATATGTTACATTTGTAGTTTGCTAATTACTATGTTTAGTTAGGTTAAACAAAGTTTCGTCTATCCCATCAAATGGCAACATACGAATTTGAACGCCTTAAGATGGAAGGACACTTGGAGGTCCAATGATGCCATCCCAAAACAGGTCCGATGATGAACTCCAAAGAATGCGCGTACACGCCACGTCCATCGGGCACGAGCTCTGTCCCAGATATTGCACCACTAACCAAACTACACGTTTATCTGTTTAGCACAAACATATTCACCCTCTTCCTACATGTATTTTTTCCGGACGGGAAGAAGAGAAAAGGTAGTACCTCTGGCATGAGCTTCCAGGAGCCGTACTAGTCATTCTTCCTGAATGTAAAATTATCGTTCAGTTTAAAAGTTGGGAAGAAAGGGAGAAAGAATAAAGGTTAATTTTTATGTCAGCAAAGTTTGGGATACAATGGTGTGTTCGATGTCTGGTAACTTGTCATTGCGTAACTTCAGTGATGGCTGTAGTCGGCCTTAGAATTCTGGCTGTATGAGAATTAGTGGAAGTAAAAAAAAAAAAGTAGCTGACTTGGAGTCATCTTTATGTGTCTTTTCCTTCAACTAAAAGTTTTCTTTTTGTACTGCAGTCCGGGGACCGAAAACAGGGTCAATATCCGTCAGCTCGCCGACACCCGACTACTACCAAGTGAAGACTTCACACAAACTCTAGAATAAGTAACAAAAGTAATCGAGATGCTGCTCTTTGCCCAGATATCGTTTACATACATTTTAGAATCCATCCACTCTTAGCAATGAAATTTCACTGGAGGAAAAAACAAAACGTGCCATTCCTTTTTTCGTTTCCTGAGAAACGTAAGGAATTCCCGTTCCAGTTCCCCTAAGGCAAAATGGTGCTGCGGCGTTCCTCCGCTCCGCCTAAAAAAAACAAACAAACAAAAAAACACGTTGCAGGACGCCATTCCTTAGAACACCATTCCGTACAACACTGCGTCGGAAACCGGAGCGTTTGAGGCGACACCGTTTCCGCTTTGCTGTGCAGTGAGTACAGGGGGTGCTCGGTGCTTGACGGGGGATTTTCGCAGCGAAAACCAGCGTCCGCGTTGAAGGCTGACATTTTTTTTCTGCCGGCATGCGGAAATGCGGCGGGGACGCCGGATGGATCAATGGTACTTTGTGTCGAGCGGTCCCTCGCGCTATGGCAGTGGAGTGGTTGCGGAAGTATCCCTCGACCTCGGTATCCACTTTCCTATCGATTCTTCTCGGGCCGCTCCAAGAAACGTTTGCCGAGAGTTCGGCTAGTGCGCCGTTCCTCTGGCACGAATTTCGAAGGGCTCCCTGATCTCGCAGATCCGATTCAGGGAATGGAAGGGCTCGAAACAGACCAACCGAATATACCGTGAAACAGTCGTTTTTTTTGCACTAGGATTCCTATATTTGGTAATAGGTCAAGACTTCCCATGGGAAGCTCCTTCCACTTCTTTCTATGTTAGCAGAGCGAAGGCCGGAGAGGGTGGTCGCCTCCTCTACAGCGTTCACTCTCCTAAAGTGCCAAGGGGTTAAAGGAGCGTCCCCTGAAGTCTTAGCCTGTGACCGACCATACAATGTTTCTTGTTGAACAAACGCAAAAAAGAACAAATAAACTTACTTGCGATGTAGGTAAGCCACCCTGTGTTGAACTGCCGAAGGCTATCGAGCGCCGCGGTCATCAAGACGTCTCCTTCGGAACCTCGAGGGGTTGTTTGAATGTTTGTCCTCGCTCCGAACGCTGCACGAGTGATGACGTCGAACGAAAGATTCTGGAAGATCCGCCGCATGTCAACCGACTGGCCGCTGTTGGTTTTGGTTGCGATGACGCTCATCAACTCCTCGATGCAGCTCTGCTGGAGCGCGACCACCTGTGCGCGAATTGAGAGAAAAGTGAAATTCTAGTGTCATTCTAAAACGCGTATGATTATAACCATCTTAAGAAAAGGCTTCGATTATCACGTGACATGTTACTAATGTGCAGCACTTCGTTGTCTGCTAAAAAATAAACGCTTTAAATCGGTACACAAAGGAAACCAGAGCACGGAAGAGTGTTTGTCTGCCGTGCATGTCTCTTTTTTGAGCTTTGTTTCTGCGCGCTTTTTATAAGCATGGAATGCTTTCTGATTGAAACTGACAGTCACAAAAAAAATTCTGTCCTTTTCATTTTTTTTTATTTAACGGGAAACCTGACGTCACTTGGCCTAAGGTCACGTGAAATATAAACCAGGTGGGAAAACTGACGTCACTTGTCCTAAGCCTTAATACAGGTTCCCCGTTGATCTTATCGCGAAAATGCACGTCTTGTGACCTAAACACCAATTCAGGTTTAGCACTAAACTTAGCGCTCAAAATCGGAGTCACGTGACCTATATATTGAGTTAACCCGCTAAATATAGCGGAAAAATGGACGTCAGTTGGCCTAAGCATTAATCTAGTTTCCGAGCTAAATTTAGCGGGGAAATAACGTCACGTGAAACACCAATCCCCCTTGACACCCTCCTACGTACAATGTCCTTTTCCCCTTCTTCTCTCCAATCTCTCCATCTTTCCTTTATCCCTCCCCCACCATAATCATGTGAAACACCAAATCAGTCTCTCGAAATTTAAAAAAAAAATAAAAAAAAATTGTAGAGGTTTTTTTTTACCGGAACGACTATTTAAAGGAGCTGTGCAACAGTTACAGTGCTTTGCTTAAATAATTTGGGAGTTGGTGCCTCGATCTTTCTAAAGTAAAGACCGAAAAACCGCGTTTGCCTGCGGGTCCTAGTTTTTATTTTTAAAATGGACAAAGGTTGATGTTTTTGGCACTCTCTCAACTCCTATACCCTCTTCAATCACGTGCGCTGTGATGTAAATAGGGGTCGCGCGGGGTTCCGGTGAAGCTCTCTCTCTAGAGCCACCAGTGAGCAGCGAGAACTCATCCGCTCGCGACCGCGTGACCACGTGCTGGCGGGCGCAGCGCGAACAATACGGTGAAAGGAGGAAAGTCTCATCCGGGCCCGGCCATACCCGTCCGGCTTTGTCCCCCTCCGGCTTCTGGCGGCTGTTCGCGGTAGCAGATAGAGCTGACGGTTTTGTGGACCTAGGATAGATGGCGCCACTAAACTCCGTATAATAAAGTTTTGTCGATGATACCAGGTTTTTTACGAATTTATATTTTTGTTAAAACGACAAGATTTCCAGAAAAGTTACCTTTTATGGAGCAGGTATTCGCACAACTTGCTATCTTTCTGCAAGATCCCTAATGACGTCACGCCGCGTGTTTCTCATGGCCTCCGCTCGCGGCTGCAGGTCGGGGAATATTCTAATTTTTGCCTTGCGATTACGCGGCGGAATCGCAACATTTCGAAGGAAGGAGATGTGTTTTCTGTACTTTGTGAACAAGATGAACAATGTCCAAAGTAGAAGGTGACAATTTTCTCAACGTTCAAATCGTTGCACAACTCCTTTAATGCCTTCCAAAGAATCTACAATATCGTTTCTAAATACTGTGTTTTAATAATTATCGAACCTTAAAGATAAAGGTCGCTGATAATTTTTTTTTCTAAATATACGTTCTTGCTCAGAATAGCTCGCCGCTTCGATTTTATATTACTAACTAGGCGTTATCTCTAGACACTTTTTTTTTCCGCCTCTACAGTGTCAGGAATAGAACGTCTGGTGGACATAAAAAATGAAACTTACTACTTTCAGCGTTATAAAACAAAAAAAAAAACTCTTGAGATCAAACACCCTAACCAGAACGAACGAGGTGCTCTATGACGATCTGCATATTGCGTCTGGTCCGTGTAAGTAAACTTTAATTATTTGTTTTTTGTTTGGAAGGGTTTTACCTGTTTCATGTTGCTGGCCTTGAAGGCTGGCTTGAGAAGGCTTCGCACCTCCTTCCATCGCTCTCCGGGCACGTTAGTCAAAGCCCGTCTTGATAGATTATGGTTCTTTGAGACGGCTGAGACGACCTGTGGGTCCAGCGCACCAGGCAAAGTAAAACATGATTACATATTATATCTTATAGTGTAATTTATAACAAGAAACTCTGCGCCTAAAAATTGTGTATTTTATCAGCAAATATGGCATTTCCTCTGGCGCGCTACCTTGCGTGATGACAAGGTATCCAAACAAATCTTGACTTTGTGCTCATCTACAGTGACCAGTCTTTTGTTGAAACAAATTCGTTAACTTTTTCAATGTTTTCTTCGTTTTTTTTTTCTTGGATTTCTAAGTCGTTTCAGGTCTCCGTAAGAGCGCGGAATAAATTGGAAGAAAAAAAAATGAACCACAGGTACGTGTGTGCAACACATATCGGCCTATAAGAAGAGACTTATAAAAGAAGTGGGCTTTATTAATATAATAGAGGTATTATAATGTACGCTAGAGGTTTAACTGCCGCTAGTGGGATGTGGCGAGTGAAAGCCGACAGCACCCAGTCTAAAATCAACTTCCGGTAATGCATTTCCATGGTAAAAAGCGAGTGCATTTTCTCCCTGCGCTGGATTATAAGAGCAAATATCACAAATGATTCGTAAGTACTATAGGCAGATTCAAACATTTCTTAGTGACACCGCCAAAAAAAAATTGGGTCAGTTATGGCGTTTTGTTTTCAAATTGATGGCATTAAAGACGGTGCTAAAACGGCTTCGTGCATGTATTCATGTGCACTGTCGTAAACTGTTAGCACGAACACGACGACGGCGCTTTTCAGCATGGGAGATATACGTGCCCAACGAACGAAGGACATCTGGACAATGAAGAGAGGCGGCAAGAACTACACAGTAGCACTGGATCAGTAACTATACCTGTGCGTGTACGATCAAAATAAATTGAAGGTCACGTTATACACCACGGTTTTCAATAAATAAGTACTATTTTATTCTTTCGTCTCTGTGCGTAGATGATAGTTCTGCGTTAAAAACATAACCCGCACGCTCCAAATCTTTGAGAAAGTGCCTGATAAAAGCTACCTGGCATAGAAAATAATAAAAAGATACGCCTTTCATAGCCCACGTATTTTGTTCTTGATGTTTGGGAAGTTTTCTAACCGCTTGTAAAGATGCAAGGCGGGATAATATTTACACAATAGCAGGACGAGCATATAAGCAATATATCAGCAACACCGGAATGCTGGGGAACCTTGAGCACACTCTACATTCCTTTCGATTGTTATTTTGCTTAGAATTTTTGCTCGTTTTTACATACCTGCTATGCAACAGAGGTTTTGGCCTGAAATATAGCGAAGTTTAACGTCCTTCATTGTAAAGAAAATAATAAAACTGAAGGATTTTAATAAAGGCACATACTATTCGGTACGACCCAAAAAACAAAAGCTATTTGTAGTATTTTTCAGCGAAGATACAAAAAGCACGCACGTTTTCCCATAGGAATCCACAGGAGCATCGCAAAAGTACTCTGGTTCCTGTCTGCTTCATTTTGCCTCCCTGAAGTCGCATTAACACTAGCACCAGTTGAACCGATAGCACACATTATAATAACTCTATGATTAATAAAACGAAATTAGTAATAGAAGCAGTTTTGTGCTTTTATACGTGCGTTTGTTCTGCGAAAATGATGTTTTGAGTGCGGGGAATAAACCCATGATATTCAAAAAGCCAAAAAAAACACACTAAAAAAAGCATAAAATACTCGGTGTAATATCTTAAGATAGTAATTCCAGCAATTTTTTATTTTAAATAGTGGCTTCATAGAGCACTCTATGATGACGACCAACACTCCTTATACTTTATTTCAAGATAAGTCGGGACACAGTCCAAGTATAGGACACGCAGAAACATGAACCCACGCACTAAAGCAGAATTAAGGGAACGGTAGGGTCATTGAGATGGACAGGTGCCCAGATGATATAACTTTGGCGCGCATTTATTGGCATTAATTGGATTGGGATTGATTGGTCGATTGCGTTCTGACCTATGGCGAAGCGAAGTATAAGGTGGAAAGTGCTCGAGAACGTGTTTTGGACGCATGGTAATGTCAGGAGGGACACGCCAATCAAAGAGCAGCATATCGAGAATGCGCACAAAGAGCGCGATGACGAGGCAGTTGCAACACGGCCAGAGATTCCACCCCTTGATAACAGCGAAATTTCCGATATGCATAGCTTACCCTCAACGAGGCAGAGGGTTTAGAGAGATAAACTGGCAGCTGAAAGTGATCCCCATCCTGCCGCCGCCATGTTGCACACTTTCGACCCCTAGACACGTTACCTTATAGTTTTGCATCTAGGTTTTAACGAAGTACCGTGCACAAATATTTGCTTATTAATCTTTAGTAACAGTACCGACGAAATAAGTTATGTTTTATTTGTTTAAAGTCCAAAATGTGCTGTTATGTCGAAAACTCGGGCAGCTTCGCAATGCCTCTGCTAGACGCCGTCAGCCGCGGTGCTGTATTTTGGGTTTTTATTGGAGCTAGACACTGATATATGGGTCTAACAGTACTGAAAAATAGTTTATCATGCTTTTCCCAGCAATCGCAACAAAATTTCTGCTCAGTCTTGCGCAAAAGCCTCAGGATTTGGCACGGTCACGTGTTTAGTGGTGGCGGAAACGTACTGGCATGAAAAACTGGTGACGAATGAGCAATTGTTATTCGTTGTGAAGATGACCTGATTGGGATTGCTTGAGTCTTATTTCTGTGTGCTTATCTTTGAGAACAGTTTTGTTACTCAATGGTTGATAGGCGTCTTAAACACCTTTCCGAAAAACGCTCTTAGGCCGCCGCCATGTTGCTGATGCTGATGCGGCTGGTGCGACTGTCGCGCCTCCTAACAGCCAAAAATGTTCTGCTACTCTCCTTGACTATGAAAACCCGCTGAACGCGAATCTCTACTTAGGATTTGCGGTTTTGCATTCGACGTTTTTTGAAACTTCTCGAAAGTTTCCACTTAATTGTTCTGATGCATGCTGCCTCCCCTTTCTGTGTTATCTTCCATTGTAAGAAATATGGCTGGTAAATGCCTGTCGTTCAAGTGTTTATGCTCGACATTCAGGGAAAACGAGGGAGGGGAAGGACGTCAAACGGCCCTCGACATAATTTTGCGAACAATGACAAAATTTCGCCTCCCTCACAGAGATAATCCTTGAAGAGTCATTTTCAGTCATAGCCATAAATAGTTGTTCGGGTTGGAGTTAGTCATGTGAAAAAAAGAAGCTCTCCCCGAAACGTAGCCCAAAACGAAGTCATCTTAGATTCCGTCCGACCGTCAAGATGTTGACTGTTATTTGAGATCTTTTTCAAATAAATTTTTTTTTAGCATTACGTACAATATATTGTTATATTGTTAACACTTCTGAATTGCATGTCCGTCTCCTGTCCATCGGTAAACACGTTATTTGTGAGCGTGAAAAACCCATGCCTTTAAGCTATCTTGCCTTGGAAATTATTTCCGACAGCTATGCGCTTTGCCGTTTGACACGCGGCTAATTAAACGCCGCCGTCAAAACTTATCGTAAAAAAGAAACACACGACAATTAACATCCGTGTTGCAAGCGTTCTATCGCGCGCATAAATAACAAAAATAGGTTACTTCTTTTTTGTTTTGTTTTTCAAATGTAGTAGAATGCTTTCTTAATGTTCTCGGGAAAATGCATACACCATGAAACACAAAATACACCGGGAAAAGACAAGAATTTAGCCGCCAGCAGTGTTTGAAATTGCGCATACGCAGGCTGCGGCTATCGAAATCACACTCCACTCGGTTAGGGTTAGCAGGGCCGCCCGTGATACCCTCAAACCCAGTGACTGTGATCGAAAACGGTTTGCTGCCCCTGGGGTCGAGTGTTTCTTGAAAAGGTGCACAGCTCCCCAAGAGCTAAAATTTCAGTTTGAGCATGAACGGTCCTTAAAATGTTTGCATGTTAACGCATAATCTGTTAGGAAAAAAGCGTCAGATATTGAGTTGCTACTTGACAAGTTAACATGCTAACTGAGACTTAGTATTCGGATGACGATAATATACTTCGCCTGCCTACCACATCACCCTCTTCTTATGTCGTACCTCTCGGCGTGAAAGAAAGAGGGGAGGGATGTTGCTCTACTATCCAGGAAAGATATGCATTGCAAATTCGTTATCGAATATAGCGCTGTTAAAAAGATTACAAGGTATGGGACCTGCGCTGTAAGCAAAATGTATTTGCATTGTGATATCTAGCACCTTATGGCAATCTTTCGGCTTTTCTAGCGTCTTCATTTTTCTCATATTTGTAAACGGCGACAAGTAAAATGGTACTTCTGGTGGGAGTTTTAATATAGACATACTCGTAGACATTGCAGCGAAAAAAAATGCTCACAGTCATTAATATTAATAGTTTCATCAGTGCATTTTCAGCACCAACACGAATAACGCTGCTTTTTGAAACAGCAATTGATCGATCTAAGACCAATTGTCATACTCGCAAAATAAAAGTGGAGTAATAAGCTACGAATTGAGAGATTACCTTCCGAAATTCCTGTGTAGAGACGTTTTCCTCTAGAAAAACTGATACAAATTCTAAACTATTTTTGCAAAACATAACTTTAGATGAACTAGACAATTTCCAACAATGCATTCCCTCGACTGATTGGAATAAGATATTTTGAATAGCTAGGGTTGACGAGGCTTATGAGCTTTGTTGTGGCTTGTATAATAATCGCTTGCCATCAAAACCTCTGAAAATATCGAAAGATGCCCGCAATCCATGCGCAGCACTAAATTTATTGTTTAAAAAAAAAAACTGCAATGCATAAACGTGTTTTTTTAAAGGTAAAGCTAGAAAGCTTAGGATTACCAAAAAGTGCCGTAACCGCCAAACTAAATTACTCAGACCGGGGGGGGGGGGGGGGGGGGGGGGGTATTATTCTGCCCCGTTTCAAGCATCTGGAGTAGGTTCAGAAGAATTTTAAATAACCTTGAAGCAAACAGAATGTCTGTGGCAAGCACAACCAAAAAGGAAATTCGTGGCCCATTTCAGTGATACATTGAATAGGTGTTGTCAAGTTTTGAAGGTATAGAGACAGCTAAGTATATATTTTTGAAAGTCAATGTACATTGTTGTGTGCTCATCACTATACTCTCGGAGCAAGCGTGTGCAGCGCGGAATTATGTTTACCTTGTTTATTCTTTGCACTGTATTTAATTCAACATATATGTGAATGATATAGAATGATTGTATAGAGCAAAATCATGTCAGCCAATGTAAATAAAAAAATGCTTACTCCAATGAAATAATAAAAATGATCTGTAACGTTCCGAATGAATCTCACACCGCTGAGTAGTTTACATGTTTTACAATTATTACTACGTAAAATCTATAGCGTTACAGGTTAAGTGCTAGTTTTAAATACGAAGAGAAAATAACTCTCGCTTTCTAGCTGACCTTTGAAGATTGACCAAAAACATTTCAGGCATATGCTAGTCGTCTCATGGAGTATTGGAGGATGATCCTTCACACTACAAATTGTAATATACAAAGTATGAAATACACCCTCCGCATTTTCTGAACAGCTTTACAAACAGTGATGCGAACCAAAACTAAACAGCTGCGAATTTCGTATAGTCGATGCTAAAAATATGTTCATAATTGACTGCTTTTTCCCTGTTTCGATTTCTTTGTTTCTCATGCTGCCGTCTATTTTGCCATTGTAGGTCACCCGAAGCTCGTCAAGTTGTTCCTGCCAGCTTTTTTCCAGCCTCCACTTTAACACATGATTGGAAATAACTTACTAATATTATAATTTATACTGTTATAAGCCCGATCGTGCACAATTTTCGAACACAAGTGCAGCACCAGCGTTGGACAGAGACTAATGTTCAATCTCTGCCTCGCAAACCGAACACGAGCCCAAGCCGAACGCCGACACAGCACTCGTGCCAAATCTCACGCCTCGATCGATCTAACTGGGATGACCCGTGCGGAGGCGCTCTGTATAAGTGGTGTTGCCTAGACTTGTCGAACTCAGTTGGGGCCGAAGTATACGAATTGCGCCGATTGGACTCTCGGTCCGATGACGGCGCGCATTTTTGGTTATTCAAGCTCCATCTGTGCGATCCGATAACTTTCGGCTCCATCTTTGTTAATTGACGAGATTAGAGCTCCTGCCCAGGCACGTGCACTGTTTTTAATTTTTTTTCTTTCATTCGTAGTGGAGTGTTGTGACAAGATAGCGGGCTGCAACCTTGAAAGGATGTTATAACTTACCTGTACGGAGGTGCTTTGAGCATTTGAGAGTATGATGCTCCGAGATAAGCGTACATGAAAACAACGCAATTGCTCCTCGTTAACCTTGCACGCTCTCGGTAAGAAAAAAAAAAAGTCACGAATAAGCAGTCTTCTTGATCTTGAGTCCTCGTGAGCACGCTCTCGTCTACCGCTGTCCGCCGATTTCTGTGTTTTCATGACACGAACGGCCTTTGCAAACTGACAGCTCAGCAGGCTGACGTAAATAGTAAATAACAACTAAAAAGAACAAAAAAAAAACGCAGGTCGTGGCTATTCCAAAGCATTTTTGCTATCACTACGTACCTAACTGGATTGCGGTGATAGCCAAGAGGGACGCGAAAGAGCAAATCACGAAGCAAGAAGCGTGATTAACATAGTAGACCATTCTAGGGATTGCTATCTCTCGGTCATCACTGGAACGTTTCACATTATACAATACAAGAGTGTACGATCAGTCATATTAACCGGAAATTGATTGACAGAAGACGAGATACGGGGCGTAAGTCTAATCACAAATAATATTCTCCTGCAAGTAATGCGTAGAGAACTCTCTACCCGAGACGCGTGGCATTTGGAGTGGATGGATACCCATGCCACAAGTCGCAATGCAAGTGAAAAAGGCTTCGTACCTCACGCGGCATCATTCCACACGTTAAGAGTTCCCAATTGAGAAGTCAATTCTTTTTCGGTATATGGCCCTTGCTTCAAACAAATACCGGATTCTAAATTTTTACGTCAAGAAAATGAAACCGATACATACGCCTCTGCAGGTGAAGTTTCCAAAGTCCTTTATCTGAATCTTCTTTAGCAGATCTACGTTCTTCACAATCAAAACTGGGGTGCCACCATTGAAGAATCTAGTGAAATGTCAACAATAGAGGGCATTTGATCACTGAATCATGTGGGACGTTTTGGCGGGGGTCGCATGTAGTAAAACAAAACTTTATACCAACTTTTTCTACGAAATAAACACATTTCTCGTGAACATGTGAGAAGTTGCATCCCAGTGTTTGCTAAGATAGGCATGTGTAATTTTATAATCTAGCTGACACACTGTACATCATGATTGCATTTGGATGGGCTATGTTTAGCTTCATCGTATGAAGTAATAGAGTTGTTTGAACTAAATAATGTTTTGGTATGTTCGCCTCAAATGGCACCCCGGGAAGAGGAAGACACATGTGGCATCATTATTGTTTAAGTCAAAACTATTCTTTATGGCTTAAAAATGGAGTTCACATTGGCATCTTAAAAACAAACCTACCTTAGACTTCTAACAAAAATTGGCGCAAGAAAATAAATTATATTATTCTCTCCGGTTTTATTTGAATTCGAAGCAGGTTCAGGACCCAATAAAATTAATACCAACGAAGAAAAATATTACATGCGCTTAATACTTAATTTTTGATTTGTTAATTTGTTAAAATTATTTTGCAAATCGTCTCTTTGACACGAATTCTTTTAGTCAAGTTAAACCAATATGGTTAAGCCAGTAATCCCATGAAATGCCTTCTTACCCTACGAGGTCTCCGTACTGCTTGATCCATTCACTGAAAGTCACGACAGAGCCCTGAAAGTCAAAAGAACCTGACTGAGGAATGAACATACACATATTGAGCGCTTTTCAAATAAATAAGTACAACAACGAACAAACTAAACGTTCAGAATCGCCGTCATTGCCAAATTGATACTGCGCAGTTCGTTTCTAATTATTTGAGTATTATTATAATACGGAATTTATATTTATTGATAGGTTTGCATTTTATAGGTATGCAATAAAACCCGTCGGGTAAAATGGCATTTCCGCCGAAGAGCTCTATACTTTATAAAAATAATGTCGAAGATAAATTTTTTTCTTTATTTAGAAATTATGCTTACGTTGATGAATTACTCAAGGAATCATTTTAAAACAGTGCAAAGATGTTCGATGATAAACAGCAACTGCGGATAAATGACAAGAGAGAAATATAGTCTTATTAAAGTTACCTTCTTGAGTATTTCCGACATATTTCCCGTGAAGAAACTCGGAGCGGGTCCTGGAATTCCCATGGTTTTGAACACCGCGAGCTTTCTTTTGCGCCAGCTGCGACATGTAAGAGAACAAAAAGACAGGCGTCAGCTGATCCTTCGAAGTCAACATTTGAAAAACCAACAATGAAAAAAAAAATTTTCATACCTGATGTTGAGTTGCGAAAATATTGGCAGTTCTCAAGTTTGCCTTCCTCTAATTTCATTTCTACCAAATTTTGTATCGTATGAAGTTATTTCTACCTTTTAATGTCCGCTTCCGTACGTCACTTTGCATGCACCTCTTAACAAATCTTTATTTACTTAAAATACTGCAATCCTTTCCGTCAAAGAAAGAGCGAATATGCAGTTGCAAAAAACTATATAAAAACACATTAATGCACTCTTACTGGTCCTGAGACTTGTATAGCCAGACTCAACCCTACAGAATGTTTGAATAAGATTCCCATATTCTACGCGATATTTTATGTAGTAGTCTAGGTATAAATACTTAGAGATGAGCGAGCAAATATGTACAAACGAAAGTCATCTAATATATAGAAAAATTCATAGTTTCTTTAAAAGGCTAAACTGAAAATGCGCAATCTTTGTAAAATGGTTTAAACCCCCCCCCCCCCCCCCCAAAAAAAAAAAAACACATTTTGTCTACTCCAAAAATTGATGTGGAACACTGCATAAATTTAGTAGTGTTCAACATGAGTTTGTGAAGGACCGTTTGGTGGACCCGAATTTTCGTTTATTTCTTGATTACCCAGTTTTTATAGTTATTTCTGGAGGTCAAATAGCAATTGTTGCTTTTAATATGACCAAGGCATTTGATAAAGTAAATCAGGATTTTCTACTGTATAAGTTGCCCTTATATGATTTCTTACAGGAACTTCCGATTTGGTATCAAGCATACCCGACTTGTCATCAAAGTAGCGTTAGGATATCGAACATCTATTCTCTAACCCACATTCCCACATCTCGGGAAGTCCAGGGATCTAACCTATTGCCTCTTTCATTCCTCTTTCTCGTAAACGACCTTGAGGTGTGCATAAACAATTCTGTTCTGTTAATGCCTGCTGATGACATTAAGATTTGTAGGATATGTACGATCGTCCTCTCATTGGCAGTATCTTATAACAGGATATTGCTTGTGTATCTGAGTGGTCTTCAGCAAATTCCTTGATGCTAAATCTAGACAAAACAAAACTACTGACAATGTCACAAAACGCGAGATTTTATTTTACCCATATTTCTTCAGTCCGCACTATTACACATGTCACCATGATTCGTTACCTCGGCATGTATTCCGACATAAGGCTTTCTTGTTCTAGTTGTTACTAAGATTGTTGCCTTTCCTGTACGAATGCTTAGTTTACTTTCTCGACTGTCATGTTACTTTACGAATTATTTTTACATTATACGTATATCTTACTCCCGTATACAAATATGACGAGTTCAGTAGGCTAGCACGGAACTCATTCACGGCCTTTGATTTGTCGCGATTTGAAACTGTACAGAAACGCTTTATTCGTAACATATATATGATATATGATAGGTACTTCAACAAAACCATGTTATTACGACTATAGCTACCTACTCAAACGTCTGCATTTACAAAGTCCACCGACTCGCCATCTTACCCGTAATATTCTGTTTCTACGCAAAGCAATTCATGGTCACTTCGATGCTGACCTTCTGTACACTTTCATGCACCTGCTGGCTTTCGTGGACACCACTCTCTATTTTATATTTTCCTTTAAGAAAGAATATTACCATTAATTTGCATGCAACTCTCATTTAACGATTGGGTCTTCATGTATAAACAATTTTGATGGAATTAACTCCTTCAAGCGCTAACTAGCTTGTGAACTCTGTGTTTAAGACAATTCTGACATTTTTTGATAATATTGGCGTCCAGACCCAGACTGAATTGTGTGGAATTGTGCTTTTGTTCAACCATGGTTGTCTATGATGCACGTGTGGTTATGCCGTTTGTCCACAAAGGGGGGGGGGGGGGGGGGAGAAGAAACATCCACACTAACGGCACAGAGCGCGGGCAAGGGTGCTGAGCACGAGCTCTTAGCAGTTGATTCCTGTGCGCGAGCGCTGCATTGGCACCTCCCATGAATTTGGCCTTGCGTGCGTCGCATTCGTTTTGCTCCAAGTTAAGGCCTCTTCACACATGCAGCGGAGCGCTACAAGCATAGCGCTAACCTCTCGCTGAGCGCGTGCTGACGGGAGCGTTCACCAGCTTTGTATCGCACCACAAAAACTGTTGCTCACGGCAGACGATAAATAGCTGACGACACGTGAGCAGCGCTACATCAGCGCTTCGCTGCATGTGAGAACCGGCCTCTAGTGTAAAACAAAGCGTAGTTGTGCTTTTCACCACATGTGTCGTGTCGATCCAATCTCGAGGGACGTGTGGAACAAATTTTTCATGAATTGTTCGATGTTTGTAACCTTTTAAGAAGCCTTGACTTTTTCTAGTGTGCGTAAGCGTTGTGCGATATATTTAACACTTTCCTGTGATGAGCCATCTAAAATAACGAAGGCCTCCGAACGCTCCACACATCCTTCATGAAACGTTATCAGTGTCGGATCGCTCCAACTCAGCTACTGGACCCGAGACCGATTTGATTGGATTCGAGACCCATACGAACATTGACACAGCACTCGGGTTCAATCTCAGACCTCGATCGATCTCATTTTGATGACGGTGCTATCACGGTGCGGAGGCCTTCTGCTTATTTAGGTGGTGTTAAATGAGCTCGCCCCCTTTTTTATTGTCTTTCATCCGTGAACGTATATGAAGTGTATCTCTAATTTTATATCTCTGACTACCACACCAAAACCGCTGAAATGTTCTGTTGCACAAAGAAGTTTACATACACACACACACACACATACACACACATATACATATATATATATACATATATATCAGGGGTGGCCAGGCTGACCCGGCATAAGAGCAGCAAACAAAACCACAAAATTTCAAGAGCCGCAAAGGGGGGGGGGTGCAAGTTTTGTCTAGAGCAATATGCGAAACTTGAACTATTTTCAACCTATTCGAGTCAAAAGCAGCCGAACTGTATGTAATGTAGCCAGCAGTAGCTCAAAACTACCAAACCGCTATCTGTCTCGATTTAAAACGCGTTCCATTTCTCTTTTTGGGGACATGCACGTGTGACCGGGAGGGTGGCCGGGGGAAGGGGGGGGGGGGGGGGGTGTAGGGGAGGGAGCTGCGAGTCGCACTTTAACACGCGAAGAGCCTCAGCTTGGCCAGCCCTGACATATATATATATATATATATATATATATATATATATATATATGTATATACTATATTAACAAGCCTCAGAAGCCCAGGTGCTCCCGTGACTAGATCGAACACGCCATGGGCCTTGCGAGTGTTCATTAAAAATCACTGCATAACTAATGCTATATTAAGTTTTTAGTTCAGTGACTAAAACTGCGTATGATGTGTTCTGGAAGCTCGCATTACTCAGTTTTTACAAACCAGCTATAAAAACTATTAAAGGGGCGATGCAACAATTTTTGTACTTTGCGCAAATACCGCTTAGAACAGATCCCTGACGTTAATGACCTATGAAACACGCGTTAATTTTTCACTTCACGCAATAGAAGTCCCAGAAAAAAATAAAGGAGAGCGAGCAGCGTTCACCCCCTCAAATCGCAGCCAGAACAAGCGGCCACGCGATCTGGAGCCGATTATATACCCACTGATCTCCACTAGAGGGGGCTGGATGGCGCATTGAGCGAACAGGTATGAAGCCACCGGAAGTAAGTGGCTTGTCCCGGAGGTGAGCGCTTGGCAAGCTTTGTAACCCTCCCAAGCGCTGGTTCGAAAAGCGTCGAGGGCGTTAGATTTTCGCTTGTTCCCTCAGGGAAGCCTGCTTGTTGCGCAGTAAGAGCGCATGCAGATCTGAGAACTATCATGGGAAGCCATTCGATGTAAACATTTTGAGATTCTAGTTGATCAAGTGTAAATATGTCCCATGTTCATATGACTCATTCTCGGGATTTAATCCAGAACGTGAGTATTAAAATCCGATCAAAGACACAAAAATTTATCGTCTCAAATATCGAATGAATGCACAAGGAAGCCCAGCGCACGCCCGACTTCCGGGACAAGCATCGAACTTCCGGTGGCTTCACTTGCGCCAGGCTCGGAGTGCAGCTAAGCGCCATCCAGCCTCCTATAGTAGAAATCAGTGTATATACCGCCAATTTTGATCATAGCCACGCGCTGGGGTTGGCAACGCACAGGACACGCGCTGAGTTCCAGATATTGTTATGGCTCGGCTATTGTCGTCGTTGTAGCGATTGGACGCGGGCGACTACCCGAATGCTTCTCGAGCTAGTAATTATCACGAGCCCAAATCGAGTGCCCACGCAGGGCTCGGGTCCAATCTATGAACCCCATTCAAATATCGTCACTTGGGTGTTCTGCGATCCCCACGTTACGTCATCAAATTTTGCAAAGGAGAGATTGAACGAAAATAATTGCTTTTGTCCTTGAAATTTCACCGCAACAAAGGAGTTTCTTGGCCAGCGGCGTTGCGTGCGAGTATCCTTGAGTCCGACTAGGGCCAGTAAGCTCGTGTATAGTGAGAAACATTCCAAATGAATATCGTTGCACAGCTCCTTTAAAGGGGTACTGAACCATGGAATTTAGTGTCCATAATAAGCGGCGCACGTTTTTTCCACGAGCCAGCAGCCGCCGGTGTACGCGAGCACACGCAACAAAAATGACGTCAAAGACCTCCATTCGTGGCTAAGATGACAGTGAAATGTATGGGCTTCGGGCCGAAGGAGAATAAAGACAAGATTTTCATCTACACAGTGGTGTCTGGTGTAAAATGTAAGCGACTAATTGGTCTAACAAGCACGTAGCTTTCACTTGTAGAAATGAAAAGCCTGTCTTCATTCTCTTTTGGCCCCAAGTCCATGCATTTCACTGTCCTTTTAAGTGCGAATGGAGGTCTTTGACGTCATTTTCGTTGCGTGTGCTCGCGCACAGCGGCGGCTGCTGGCTCGAGGAAAGAACGTGCGCCACTTATTATAGACACTAAATTCTTTGGTTCCGTGGGGAGTGACTTCCCGACGTTAGTTCTTAACTTTTAGGTATCGGCGACAGACGTACACTTTTATAAGCGACTTTCCTTTAGATATACTAATTGAGGAGACACTGGTCGCGCAACTTGGTACGATCTCAACTTGATTAAAATTCAGAGGGCATATGCTACACTTCGCGTTTCACACTGCCGACGAGGGCTGATGCCAACTGGCAATGGTGGTGTTAATACAAATACAAGAACCGGATTACATCGCCCGTTACGTACAAGCTACTGACTAGGGTTCCGTGTTTTCTGGGTCAGTTTCTCTGAATTCAGGACTATCTTTTTTTTTTTTTTTTTTTTTTTTTTGTGGCGACGACGTGACGTAAGAACTGGCGGACAAGGTGCAGTAGGGGGAAGCCATGGTAGCGTGTACTCGGGCCACCGGCGGTTCGCCGTGCGGCAGCGTGTACGGTTGGCCCAAGGTGGGTTGATATTTTGTTATTTAGTCATTAATAAACTGTCACTGCGAAGTGGCGTAAGGGGGCGTCAGGGCTGGGTCAACGGGGGCCCCAGTGATACCACCGCCGTCCCCCATTGCCAGGTGCCGGAAATGGCGAAGGGGGACGTCGCCGGCGATCTTCGGTTGCTAGGTGCTACGTCACGGCGTCGCTCCCTGTAACCAGCCAATCGAGTGCTGCCTCAGTTGCTACGCGTCCTATCGCCAAGCCTTTCGAAATATGCACCCCACCGGCATCTGTCGGCGCTTGCGGAAGCTATTTCCTAGCTATAGTCTCCACAGCAAGTGGGGCAGTGGTGCCATCACGTGGCGACCTTGCCAACTTTGTATGCTTGTGCTCCAAATCAGTCCCAGGTCAGCGCATGTGCCAGGGCACTGATGCTAATTTATTAAAAGGAAACGAAGCAGCCGAGGTTTGTGGTTCCCGAGGAATAAGCAACCTCGTGGATATATCACTGAGTTTCGTGTTACAAGAAAACTAAAGAAAAAACAGTAACTAAAGATTTCGTCCCGTGAAGCTCGGCTTCTCGTTCGAAGAAAGCTCCTATTGGGGAGTTTGGGCTTTGTTCGACAGTGATAAAATTTGCTCGATGGCTACTGTTCGGTGTTTATCAACATATAGAAAAAAAAAACACTAACCCCTATAGTTACGGCCTGGATTGAACGTTGACGCAATTCAAACAAGGAAAACGAGGAGACTGCGAGCTCACGTCGCCCCTCCATGTTTTGACAGGAAGCAATACGACTCAAGGGTAGAGATAGCCCTCGAGGTCAACCATAACGAGGAAAATAAAACAGGTAAACACCTCTACGATGGTCTCGAAACGTTTCACGTTATAATCACTAACAACTTAGGAAACGAAAAGAGTATACATTCCCCGAGCAAGTAACGCGTCATAGCCAATGAAATAGCTGCATTAGGCCAGAAAGAATCCCCAAAGAACGAACAACGAAGTCGGAGGTGCGAATATAAAAGCCACCCCCTCCCCTCCCGCCCTGGTCCTGCAGCGTTTCTGAAACTTTTAGCGACTATTGTCGCAGAGCAGCGTAAGAAAGCGCCGGGCGCGTGGACCACTGTGCAGCCAACCCTTGCTTCGCGATTTGACTTTTGTTGTTGTTATCAAGAAATGCCCCGATCTGATTGACTGCTGAGCGATAGGATATCTGAGACTCTCCATGCCCCACGTTCCTTAAACTATCGGGGTCAGTGCTCTAAGAAACCTGGAACGTCCGCTGTCCCGCAATGCACTTGATAGAAACCAATCACTGCAATCCACAGAGAGGGCTGGGCGAATGGCTGGGCTGATATTATGTTTAGACCCCAGGAAAACAAAATGGCTATATGTGCTGAGTGCCACAGCGCATACGGGTTTTTATTATTAAATTGTTTTCTTAGGGGAAAGGGGGGGGGGGGGGGGGGCGTCTGAATGCATTATGAGCTCAATCATTTGCCGTGCACAATATTTTTTTTTCAGTAACATTTCTTAGACTGTACACCTCGAGAATAAGCTTCCTAAGGAAGACATTACCCTAATATAAGCCGCGTTCATAAAAAAAAAAAAAAAGTTTTAGGAAAGAGGACTACTCACAAGAAGTACCAGACGACGAGAACGGCCAAAAAGGCAACCCAGACGGGGGCCGCCATCTTTGAGAAGACGCTGCCTTTCAGCCGAGCAACACGCGCCAGTGAATGCGAAGACAGTCTGGTAAACACTTGCTGTGTCTCAACCTCCTCGCCTTCCAAATGTTGCCAGCTGGAGGGTGCACTGATAAGTGTTTACAACCGGGTCCTTCTACGGCCGCAGCCGCCGCGTTCCTATCTCGCCCACGGGTGTCGCCTCGAGAAGAAACTTCCAAGAAAAAAAGAAAAAAAGGGGGAACGACTGGTTATCGAGCGAGCGCGAATGACTTGTTTTTGCGGCGACGGCTGGACGCCTTGACGAACGTGCTGACCTCACCTACACGTCTGCAAGAGCGATGCGGCCTCGAAGATTATTAATAGCGACGAAGGTTACGAGGCTGTCGCACGGGCGAGAGGAAGAAATGGAGAGATCGAGAGAGAAAAATGAAGGAAGGTTGTTGAAAGCTCGGCCGGGGGGGAGGGCCGGGGGGGGGGGGGGGGTGGGAGTAAAACAAATTTGGTCACTCCATCACGCGCAGGGTAAATGCGGTGTCAACTGCTGCCAACGAACTAAAATAATCGCCTTTGTCGATCTCTATGCACTCTCAGCGGAACGAACCAGTTATGGCTGAAGTGGGCGCAGTGGCTTTCCGTTATAAGGACAGAACGAGCGCCTTGGTAGGGATAATTAAACTTGAGGAAGCAAACGAGAAGGGACGCGCGGGTACCCTGCGCGTAATGGAGTGGCCGGATTCGTTTTACTGCCTCCCCCCCCCCCCCCCTTTCCTGCGAGCTTTCAACAACCTTCATTTATTTTTCTCTCTTGTATTTGTTCGTCCCTTCTCGTTTTTTCCTCAAGTTTAAGCTTTCCGTTAATTACGGATGATTGCGTAAACCTTCTTAGAATTTATCGGGTGCCGGAAACGTCTCTTTGGAACCGCGCAAGGATAGCCGTTTCAAGATTTGCATTGATGCCTGCCTGGGGCCTGCTTATGGTTGTGGGCGTGTCTTGTGAACCCCCGACCTTCGGCAGGCGCTTCATGCCTTCCGCCGTGGTATGGCTGCGTGCGCGTTCTCGAGGTCTCCGTGACGCCGAAACTTTGTCCAATGCAGGAAGCTCGCGCTGGAGTTGGGACAACGGAAACTCCTCCCAGCCGTTCTCTCTTTGTCCGTGACGATACCGTGATCTAGTCTCGAGAATGTGGCAAGATGACCGATAGTCTTTACAATACAAGATTAAAACAATTAATTCGGTTCATATGTCCATTCACTCAAATTTTGAAGGAATCATTTGGCTATAATAATAACCCAATTCGCGCTTTTATGAAGACCACTATGGGAAAAGATTTCCAAACAAGTCAGTTCTATATACAACTTCCTGGTCACTATTTGCGTCTCAAAGTAACAAACGACAACACGAAACATAAGAAAAAAAGTTTCACGCCGATTCCTGCATGTTATAGCTGGGTGATTTCAGATAAGATCGACCAAAGGATGGCTAGTCGACATTTTCAAATCAACTGATGTTTTTATATGTTATTGTCTAGTGTCTGGTATGAACGAATCCAAACTTAGTTTTGACTAGAAAAAATACTTGGGGACAGGAAAAATCGTAAGGCATGAGGTGGTGGACAGTCGCATTAACGCGCACTGATGGAGGGGGCCCGTTTGAGAGTGAATAACTAAAGCGATAACATTAGGAGAACTCTAATACGTTTTAGGCGCAAACTATAGGTATAGCTTGCTTGTAATATAAAATAATCATATTTATTTGAAATCTATTTATTTTTCTAAAAATTGACAAACATGCCTGCTCGAACGACAAATGGCAAACTTTGGAGGTCTGTATCTCATGAAATAATTTAATCATTATGATATAATTTGCAGATATTATTCTACTAATATATAGCTAATATTTAAAAAAATAACTAAGGTATCTGTGTGATACAATAGTTAGGATATATTTAGGCAAACATGAAAAAAAAATCACACAAAGAAAAATTCCGATGCGAATAAAAAAAAAAAAACACCACCCTCGATTTTTTTTAAATTTAGGTAACCTGTTATACTCTATTTTGGCATTCATTTACATTAAAAACATGTTGCATCATTTTATTGAAAAAGAAGATACAACTCCCCAAAGTAGGGTCCTTTTTCAAAGCCTACACTTAGCAGTGTTTTATACAAGAACTGACTCTGAGTTCCAGTTTCATGAAACCAACACACATCTTTTATATATTTTTATTCAGATGAGGCCAATGATAACTAAAGAAATCGTTCACACACTTAAATTAAGGAGAAACTACTGTGTACAAAGAGGTATCATATTACGGACTAGTGATCCGAGAAAAGATCATGCAGCCATCGGCCACTAGGAACTTTGTTTACTTTATTCTCCTGCGACACTATATGCTATTCCCTCTTCCGCTCTACCTTCATCTCTCTCTCTCTCTCTCTCTCATATATATCCCTGATATATATCCAGAACAAAAACATGTTCGAGCATTCCCTTTCTGCGTGGTAGTGTTCTGTGTCTAGCAAAAATCATTTCCTCGCTAAGCTCACGATTATGGCAAAATAGTTGCCGGAAACCGCAGACGACACTCGTCGCTAGTTCTGGCAAAACGGCCGATACAATCTTTTTTTCGCATTTCCCCGCTCGCTGTCAAGGACAAGGGGGTTCGCTTCAACCAGCAAAACATGGCCGCCGACGCCTGTTTACTGAGCAGTCATGCCTGTCGCCATCTCACTCGCTGGCGTCACGGGCGATAATATCAGGCACAAAGGGGCACACCAACCGGCAGCATTATCCCCAAATACTCGAGCCTCGCGTAAATACATAGAGTGTAAACGCTGTCGCCATGTTATCGTAGTAAGACCGCCCCCCCCTCCCCCAACGGGGGACTGCAGTACGCGACGGCGTACTAACACAACGGCGACGATATCCACATCGCGGGCTCCGAATTTTCCCATAGTTCTACTCCACGGGCATTTCTCGAAACGCTTGATATTGTGTACGCCCGCCTGGAAGGATTTCAGGCGCGTAGTTAAGATAAGGCGGTTCTCCGCGGCAAAAGAAAGCAATTTCACAAAAGCTGAAAAGCGGCGGCGACGCGTGTGCGGTGAACGCTTGTAGTTTTGGTGTAGACAGGGTGTGTGTGTTCTCGTTGTTGACACCAGCCGGCGATAAGGCACTGCAGGCGGTAGCTTAGTACAGCAAGGGCTAATCCGAGTGACCATCAACGTAACCCCACCGCCAACCCCTCGCGAACCGGTCGCCGACATGTCTCAGGCTGTGTCATGAACCACGTGGTAGAAGCTCGGGTGCTTTCATATCAGCGCGTGGGGGGACGACAGTGCGATTCCGGAAAGTCTTTTTCGAAGGCCGCTGACCACAATTTTTTGTCTGGAGACTTTCCCTCTTTCTTCCTTTGACGTGGATCAAGCTTTGCCGACAGCCTCAGTTGTGACCTCTCTTTTCAAATGTACGTTTGCAGTGAGTGAGCTCCTCAGCCTCGGACTTGTCACTTGTGCACCCAGTAGTTCTTTCACTTGGCAATTATATGCCATCAGTTGGGGTTTAATTTCTATTATTTATGTATACATTATGAAGACGTCCTGGAGCTCCGAACGAGTTTTTGTGCAGATTACTTTTGCAAACACAAAAAGACTATACCAAAGCAGCGGAATTTTCGAAGTGTTGGCGAGTTGGACCTAAACTCGTTGAAGCAAATTCTTCCGCCTGACTGTTCCACCAAAGTGAGTGCGACGGACTACCTGTGCTACCATTGCTTCATGCACATCACTAAGGAGATCTCGATGCGAAGCTCAGAGCAGTGCCCTGACATATTTGTGCCAGCTGAAGAAGCAATTGAAGATCTAAATCGCAGCATACTACCTACAGATGTGTCGCCGCTGAGACACCCAAGCGTCGTAAGAAGTCGGGACAGGCCTGCCTATGTCAAGAGAAAGCAGACAGAACTGGAGCAGGTTGCTGTCAAGAATATACGCTCAAGGCTACGTATTGCGTACGACAGGGACGCACCATCGGGGTCGTCCGAACCAACATGCTCCACATGCACTGAGTGGGTGGACAACTTTCGGCAGGCCTTTGAAACCGCCACCTCTCTCCGGGAACGTTGTCAACTGCTTACACTCCTGCCGTCAGCACTGACGAAGAATGAGGTTCAAAAGATGATTCCACAGGCCTCAATGTACCTCATCAGTAAATCCCGAAAACTCAAGGAAAAGCATGGTGTGTGGTATGAGCCGGATCCTTACACGAGGTGCAAGGTGAGCCCTGAGAACCTGTCTGCTGCCCTAGAGTACTTCACGAAAGACGAGCTACAATGTTCGCGCCAAAGTCCCAACCAGAAGGACGTCATTTCTGTCATGCTCAACGGAGAGAAAACGTTCGTGCCAAAGCGCTTCATGACACGCTCAATACGAGAGGCCTTCCGTATATACAAAGACAAGCATCCCGATTCCGGCGTTGGGCTAACGAAATTTTATTCGTTGCGCCCTAGATGGGTCCAATGTATTCCACACCAGGAAGTGTGCGTTTGTGTGCGCTGCGCCAATTATTATCTTTGTATTGCCGCTCTAGAGAACGTTACAGGCTCAACATTCAACACTGGTGAAATGAACTCGGCATTTCTGTACGACCCAGCAACAGAACTGTGCCTTCAAGGAGACTGTGATCACTGCCCAAAAGGCCAGTTTCTTACACTCCAGGAACTTGATATCCCGGAGGATGAAGAGATTGTGCTTGCAACATGGGAGTCCGGCGACCTTGTGAAAAAAAACTTTGGAACCTGAGACTTTCCCAAAAGTCATCCAAGTGACGGTTGGAAGTTGGGTACTTCACAACCATATCCGGCAAACGCAAGGTAAAGCGATCTACGATGAAAAACAGTGCATGCAACGCGGGAGCATTGTCTTTCATTTTGACTTTGCTGAAAACTGGACCATCGTGCTTCCTGACGAAGTGCAAGCATATCACTGGAAAAAAAAAAACAAGTTTCGATATTTACATGTGTAGTGACGACAAGAAAATCTACAAACAGCTTTGCCATCATCAGTGAGGACCTGTGTCACGACGCCGCTCAGGTTTCTTGGCTCTAGAAAAAGTGAAGGAGTGGGTTGAAGACAACGTTGCGGTATACTCGTACGTGACGTACGTAAGTGACGGCGCCGCCAGTCATTTCAAAAATCGCTACCAGCTTCACCAATTTACAAAGGACGATTGCCCACAAGCCCAGTGGTTATTTTCTGCATCTGGACATGGGAAA